AAAAAATTCATGTTCACAATTGCACATGCTATAATTTGATATGATTGTCAGGCTAACAGGTTTGGATTTATACAAAGACTGTCATAAACACGAGGGATGCCATGAGCTATCACCAGACAGCAGGAATTTTTCAGTTCCATTGTAATCACAGGACCACTATCATGTATGTGGCAGGTTGTTGACAAAACACTATTGTGTGGTAAATGACATATTCACAGAAACATCTGTAGTTATGGCAAAGGCCAAAGTGACTCCCAAAGGTGAGTGAGTAATCCTGCCTTGTTACTATGTTGTCTCAGGAGAGAATAAAAGATTAAAATAGCTCCTAGACCCACAGTCCTGTCATTAGGAGCTTTGATGTAACCCAAAGAAGACTGTTTACCTCCAAATACTCTTTCCCACTGTGTGCATTGCTAAGCAAATAAGCCACAAAGAACTTACATTATTTAATGTAATAAGTTGAAAACAGACTTGCAATGTTCATAGCAAAACACTCCAAGAAAAGGAGAACAGGAGATAAAAATCACTGAACAGAAAAAAAAAAAATGAACCCACTGACGGTGCAAAACAATATAATCAAATATGCTGTGCTATTTCAAAGAGTACAAGAAAACAAAGTTCATACAAATATGGGGGATTCGAAATACCATGGAAAAAAGTCAAAATAAAATGCAGTCAGTTTTGTTGTGCTGTGTGGTATTTTGATGGGTGTTGTCTAACTGTACTCCTGAAGCTGTGCCAGGGAAGAGCTTGTGTGGGAGTGGATAGTACCACTGTTTCCTTGCTTTCCTGCATTAGGCAACACAGAAGAGCTCAGTGCTGTGAGAAATAAAGCTTTCACAGATGATACTGTAATTCTATAGAATGCTGATTGTACTTTGAAATACGTTTTCTGCCTTTTGCTAAAAACATCTAAATAAAAATAAAATCATTTTTGTGGTTGAAAGCTTTAGCTTCTAAATCATTCACACTGAAGTAAAAGTACTAGGTCATTCTGTTAGTGACAGTCTATTAAGAACATGTGTTTTTTAATTGTCAAGATGATGTACAGAGGGTTTTCAGTTACGTAAGTAAGGTAATAAGTACATTTTTTGTCAAATCTGTTGCCCTTTCCCTCAATTTTCTCCTATTTTCACTCCCAACCCCACCCCCAGGTTGTACAGATTGTTTCCAACTACTGTCTTGTGTAGATCGCTATTGCATTGGTTCCCCCCTTGCCCTTTGTCTCACCATTTTGTTGTTCCCCTACCCTTCCCCAATTCAAATAAATGTCTATACAACACCACGGTACCAAAATCAAGTACAGTAACAACAGAGAATATACCATAGGGAGAAGAACATACTAAAGAATAAAAAAATCAGTCCATTAAAAACAACAACAACAAAGAAAAACCTCTTGTGTCCATGTCTTGGAGTTCATTTTGCTTAGTATCATCTTATATGGTCATATATACAAAGCTATTGAGCTATTCTGTTCATCTGCTAAGATTTTATTCTGATTATTCAATCAGTACAAGGTACTGTCTCGCAGAAATAAGTGCTGCTTAGAGATACTCTTAATTTGTTTATTTTTATGCCCAAATATATTTTCTATTGATCTATGCAATATTCTGTAAGAAACTGCATGAACGTACTGTTGAGCTAGATTTTAAAAAAAAAATACAAAATTGGGCTTAGTCATGTATCTTTGACCATGTTAAAAACAGTATGTATGTCTGTTATTAAAAAAAAATGATCACAAAAAGTTCAACATAGAGGTCAGAAGAGAAAGGAAAAGGAAGAACTAAAGCATCCCAGAAATGAGGCCCTATTATGAGAAATACAGAACTAATTAACAAGAAACAAAGGGAAATAAAATAAAATAATTTAGTCATCTCAAAATTCGGTGCTTTAAATCTAAACAAGTACTAAAGGCATAAAAATACTTGTGGATAAAAAGGTAAACACAAGAACTAAGCAAATAAACTGAAAGTATATAGTGAATAATACAATAAACTAAGTGTATAGAAGAAAAGCAATATACTAATTGATTATTACCCACAGAAAGGATTTTCTACAAATAACACTCAAATGAAATGTCACTCAAAATTATAATTAAGAAGCAATCCAGTAGTGAATAAGCAAACAATAGTAAACATGGATCAAATGTAGTAGATGGTACATATTGCTGATACCCATTGTCTTATATTCTTCCTTGTTATTAGAATACTGATTTTAGTCATATATCACTTTTTTTTTCCTGCTTGATCATAGGATTTAGAGCAATGATTTTTGGGGCAATTCTGCCCTTAAGGAGACATTTGATAACAACTAGAGATACTTTTGATCAATATCATCTGGGGATGCTATTGGCATTTCGTGTAGAGGCTAAGATAAAAAGACATCTCTAGCCCCAAATCCTGTATGACTGTTTAGGCTCAATTATGGGCTTTGCTTTGAAAGGTGTCAAGGGGCAATGGTTAGATTTAGAAAACAGTCAATGCACAGCAACCTCTGGACAGAGTAGTCAAGGTGTCAGGACTTCTTGACACCTTACTGTAATCTTACCTTTGAGCTCTCCTATCAGGGGGCTTCGACTGAAGCTTATTTTCCACTTGGACTGGTGGTTTTGTTGTTGTTTTCTCCCTCTACTCCTTCTACCAGGGCCATAAAATAGTAGAAACTTTTGTTCATTGCTCTTGAGCAACAGATTATTTTCCTCTGCCTGTTCTGAAAACAATTTAGTTGATCTGTGCTTCATGCTTGTTCACAGGGTAAAAATAGGATAGAAGCCTGCACTTCTTTCCTTTCTGGTCCTATTATTTATATATATATATTTATTTATTTATGGTCCTGGGCTTGGACTTAGGCACTCTGAGCTTAAGGCTAGCACTCTACCACTTGAGCCACAGCTCCACTTTTATTTTTTGGAGATAAGGAGTCTCATGGACTTTCCTGTGAAGGCTGGCTTGAACAGCTTCCTGAGTAGCTAGGATTACAAATGTGAACCACCAGTGCCCAGCTTGGTCTTTTGCTTAAGACATTACTATAAAGTGAATAAAAATTTGTTAATTTTGGCTCATTTGCCTTAAGTGTCTTCATAGTTCAGGCCGATAGTGATGAATAATTTGCAATGTATAGACCAACCAGCCTTCCATGATGAAGATCTGATTCAAAAAGCCAATGGTGCTGAGCCTTTGGGAGAACTGACCTCATCTTTGGGTGGACAGATGACCATTGAAGTTGTTTGGTTAAATCATACTGAAGTGAACCAGTTACTCTTTTATGCTTGGAGAAGAATCATCATCAGCTTGGCCGAAGTGGTCATTTAACAATGAAATAAGCAGCTTTGATTCTTACTGACTTCTGTATCAGGGCTGTGATGGGGCACAACTGTGGGATAGTTTATGCTAAGCCAGAGGAAGAGAGTCCTTGATGACATTGTGGTTGATAGAATTGTGGCTGAAGCCAGCCCTGTTAGACCTTTAGAAATGTGAAACAATAAATTTTCTTAGTGTAGGCAGTTTCAATTAGCATTTTTTACTTGCAATGAAAAATACAGTTGCAGGTATCCAAGAAATTAAAAAGTAATAAAACCAGAGCATAGCAGCTGGGAAGGTGGTTGAGTGATAAAGTGTTTGCCTTGCTTGCATGAGGCACTGGGTTCGATTCCTCAGCACCACACAAGCAGAAAAAGTCGGAAGTGGTGCTGTGTCTCAAGTGGTAGAGCGCTAGCCTTGAGCTGAAGGACAGTGCCCAGGCTGAGTTCAAACACCAAAAACAAAAACAAAACTAGAGCATACACCTCTCTATATGTGTATGTGTGTATATACATATATATGTATATAGACATATACACATGTGGATAAAACTGGATTATACTAATTTGTTAAATAAGAGCAATTTTAAAATTAAACCACAAAGAAAACCAATTAAAAACTAATTACAAATGTCAGTCAAATGTTAGCCAAACTAAAGTATAGGTCATAATCTTAATATCTAACCTTGCAAACTACAGGGTGCAAAGTATCCAATGGAAAATAAGAATTTTCTTTTTTTGTGGGGGAGGGAAGCCTAGGGCTAAGTTGGACCCTTGTGCTTGTTTGCTAACAGCTGGCACTCTACTACTGGAGACATTTCTTAAGCCCAGGGTTTTTAGGGTTTTTGTTGTTGTTGTTTTGCAGATGGAGTTTACATAGACTTTTTTGTCCAAGCTGCCTTTGATCTGTGATAATCTGATCTTGGCTACTTGAGTGGTTAGGATTATAGGTTTGAGTCATGAGCAGCTCACCTAGAATATTGTGTACCATGAAAAAGGTTAAAAATTTAATGCCACGAACTTAACTGCATTATATAGAGGATTAAGGATGAAGAGTAAATTATGAATAACATCATAGGGTAGCTGGATAGTTTCCCAGGTTGGCCATTTTAACTCTACGATGGTTAGAATATTGGGCTATTATTGGAATTCCCTAGAATTTACTATTAATTCTCTCCCTCCAAACTCACCATCTACTGGAAATAGAGTCAAGTGAAAAAGAGGAATTAAGTCAAACTTCCACTACATAATAAACTTTAATTTTAGCCCTGACATAGTTTTCGTTTTGAAGAAAAATGATTTTGCCAACCATATAGTCTCAAAAGAAATAAAAAAAAAACTAAAAAGGACAACGTAAGTCACTTTTTCCATTATTATGTAGAAAGCATGACTTCACTGCAGTCATTAAACTCAACAGTTCTATTGTGTAGGTTAGAACATGTGCTTGCAAGAATCTTATTAGGTAGCCCAAACTACCCAAATTAGGTAGGTCACAAACTAATAATCCTCCAGCCTTGGCCCGCTGAGGGCTGAAGATGGAGCTGCAGGTCCAGCTATACTTTCCAGTTTGTGAAGCAGTGAATTGCTCTACTGATGGCCAGTAAGCATTGTTATTTAATATCTAAATATTATTCAATATTAAAAAGTTTCTGCATTCTATTTGGAAAGCTAAGAAGAGAAAAAGAGAAAAATGTCACTCTGATACTAGAAAGAAAATATTTTAATTGAATTCCACTTAAAAAATGTTTCCTTATCACCATGAATACATTAACCACATTCTCAACTTACATTCAATTGCTTACAAGACAAATCACCATATAATACATTTACATTCATGTGAAGTATATGAACTTATTTAATTGTATAGATTTTTTTTACTTTTGTATCTGATGCCTTTCAAAGTGACTAACACTAAGAAATAATATGCTAATTCCTAAGACAGCTAATATAGGTTATTTAGGGTTAAAAGGGTCCCTTTGAAGAATTAAAATTTCATTCATACAGAGAAGTTCCAGTGATTTCTCTCAATATAAGCCTGAAGGTAAAATTTTACCAAGTTCAGCTATGTAACTTGCAATGAATGACAGTTTTAGAAGGTTGCACTATTTGATTTATAGTTTAAGTCATTTCAAATGGTTCACAATTTTTATGCACTGAGGGGAAAGCACCAATAATTAGGATGACACATGTTTTTCCACATCATGGATGAAATTATAACACAATTTCAATTTCCCTTCAAAACCCAATCACTTATTAAAAAGTGTATTTCCAAGGTTCAATCTTTGTTTTCTCAATGAGATTGACTGATGGACACATAGATGACAATGGGTTAAAAAAAAAAAAAAGATGCTCTATATAATACCTGCTAACATAATGGACAATTTCCATTTTTTGAGCTGAGTTCCTTACAAAGAAACTCTAAATTAGATGCCTTTCTTGCCAATATTAAAGCCAAAATTTCCTAGATGGTCAAGCACCTTTTATGGTAAGGAAATACATAAAGAAAATATTTTCTACAAAATAATATACAAATTTATGTGCATAAAGGTAGATTCCTCCCAACTGTATATGTACTATTTTCCAATAACTGGCAATAATAAGTCAAAGCATGGATTTAAAAATTAACCCATGCTATTATTCCAGTTATTAAATACTGCAGCATATATGTATGTCACTACAACTATTAAAACATTTTTCTACTGTAAATAGCCAATGAGATCTCTTTGGAAACGTAATTGTGTAAAGTCTCCAATATGTACGTAATATTACCTATCAATTTTGCTAAGCTGAAAGCTTTTATAGCTAAGATATAACCTTATGGAGATACAAGTGTGTGCAGAGGCTACTGAATAAGGCTGTGCTTTGGTAAAGGCCAGCTAGGCTTTTATGTCCTTATTCCAGATACATAGTAAGTATTGTATTAGTAACGATAGAGATCTCTCACAAATGGTACTACTCACAGAATGATAAACATTTTCAGACCATGACAGAACTGCTGTCATGAATATAAACAAAGAACCTTCTAGGCTATAAAGAGTTTCTATATGAATACAGAGATGTATACAGGAAACAAATTATTTGCTTTGACAGTTTTCAGCCAAGATTTATTATACATTTGTTTTTACTGTACAAGTGCTTTTTTCTAAATACAAGAGGTTCCAGTTTCTGCTTCTCATTTTTGCTTCATTTCTTTTTTCCCAGTGCTTTTTTTGGATTCAGGCACTTCTGGTTTGATAGCTACACTCTTTTTTCGAGATGAAGTATTAGGAAGACCCGAACCAGAAGGTCCACTGGCAGCTATACAAAAAGAAAAATGACTGCTTAGATTTATGTGGGAATCCAGAGTCTGCACTATCATTTTACTGTTGAAGGACAGAGTAATTGTTACCACTGTAGAGCGAATGAATCCTAAAACATTTTTTACTTTTAGAATCTAGAAAAAAATAGAGAAAATAAATAACAATAGGCTGTTTGTAATTCATTTTTATCTTTTCCTTTTTGTCGGTCATGGGGCTTGAACTCTGGGCCTTGGTGCTATCCCTCAGCTCTTCAGCTCAAGGCTAGCATTCTATCACTTGAGCCACAGAGCCACTTCCAGTTTTTTGGCAGTTTATTGGAGATAAGAGTCTCACAGACTACCCTTGTTGGGCTGGGTTTGAACTGCAATCCTCAGATCTCAGCCTCCTGAGTAGTTAGGATTACAAGAGTGAACTACTGGCACCCTGTTCCATATATCATTTTCAAATATATACTTGTACAGCTTTTTACCTTAACTTACGATAGCAGTTGCCTGCTGGTATTTTTTTTTAAGATATTTGGTAAGAATCATAGACTTAATGAATAAAATTAAACATTTTCCCTATTGACTATCAATTTTCTCCTGTATCTTCTATCGCATTACTATCATTACTCATTACTAGGTTAGAAAGTTAAAAAAAAGAAACATTCTTGACTTCAGACTCATTTTTCCCACACCTGAACCAATATCAATAATTATTCTAAGTGCAGTTGCACTTAAAACATGAGAGGAGTTGTTGGAAAAATGAGAGCCTAGGAAGGAAAAATCAGAGACAAAAATTTTGTATGTGAACCTTGATCAATGTTTGGGGTTAGCCGATTAAGCTCCAAATGGCTTGGCTAAGGCTTTAAAAAGTAAAGTGAAATTTGAGTTGCCAGTCACTTCAACTGACATAGATTTGCAACTAAGTTGATAAAATGTGAACTCTTTGCTTTAAAAATAATCAACAACAACAACAAAATATTCTTTGGAGCACTAGAAGTGAAAGAACAGAATCTAGTCTCTACAACACACCATTCTTAATACCCAGAACATAGTCCTAAATTATTGAACACATCAAAGAAGACAGAAAAAACATTTTTTTTTAAAAGAATGATCAAGATGAGCTATCAATAGGCAACATTTTTAAAGCAGCAACTTTATGCTGTAGAAAAATATGCTTACAATGAATAAAAATGAGAAATTTTCTACAGACTAAATAATGTAGAATAAAATATCTAAAATGAAAATTGGCTGAGCTTACCAACAAAAGGAGGACAGGTAAAAGTAATGAGAATTATTACAAGAAGAAACAAAGGAAGACTTCAGCATAAACAAATTGTTGAAACTCAAACACGGAAATCAAGCAGAAAAACTAAAAAAAACATTGTATACCTGGGAAAGAATTCAAATTGACTAAAAGTTCTCATTGGAAACAATAGGAACCAGAAAACAGAAGAAATTCTTTAAAAGTGCAGAAAAATGAAGATAAACAAAAAACTATCATTTTATTTAGAATTCTCAATCTATAAAAATTAGATATAGAATGAACTTGCCAGAATTCAGAAGAGACTTTTTTTTTTGGTAATAATATGTGGTTTCTATTTTTTAAAAAATGCTAATGGCCTTAAGGCAAAGGAAACCAGAATTAAAAAACATAAAAAATAGTCAATGTGTGGATAATTATAGGATTTTCTTTCTCCTCTAAATTTTTAAAATAAATATGATTATTTAAATCAAGTGCCATAGTGCTGTAGTTTAGTGATTATGTGTGGGAGTTATATATGGCATGCAGGAAAGGTGGACAAATTTATACAACTTCATACTTATAGAAAGATATCCCAATGTTAGGTCATAAAACAAGTCTCACATTTAAACAACTGAAATCATATAGTGGGTTTGTAATTTAATGGAATTAAATAAAAATTGATAAAAAAAGATATCTAACTCCCACCCAAATAATTGGATTTTAAATCATTATAACCCTAAGTGCTTCACAAATCAATGAAATTACATTTATTTATATATTATTATATGTATTTAACTATATAATAAAAAATACAAAATAACAATTTTTTGCTTTTTAAGTTACTTAAAAGTATTTAGAGGGAAAGTTAGAGCTTTAAATTTTATTTAGCAAGAGAAGAAATAACCATCAGTGATCTAAGAAACTAGAAACTGGATAAAAATAACCACAAAGTGGAAAAAAAATAAAAGAGAAATAATTTTCATATACAACAGAAAAAAAAGTGATAAAGTTGGCTCTTTGAAAAGGCCAATAACACTGAAAAATCTCTAATAAAACTAATAAAAAAAACTTCCTAGTATTAAAGAGAGGTTAACACAGTCATTTAAAAAAACTCATAAAAACTGATGCTGTCTCTCACACTTATTATAATCCCAGCCACTAGAAAAGTTGAAATTGGGAAGATTATAGTTCCAGGCTAGTTTAGACAAAAAAGTTCGTGAGACATTTCCACCATCCAAGCTGTTTGTGCTGGCACGCGCCTGTGCTATCAGCTACAGCGGAAAGCATAAATAGGAGGATTTTGATCCTGTCCAGCCAGGGTAAAAAGTGAGGCCCTTTCTAAAGAATAATCAGAGTAAAAGCATGGGAGTTGTGGTTCAACCAATAGTAAATAAATGCCCATCAAGTACAAAGCCCAGAGTTCAAACCCTAGTACTGTTTCCCACAAAAAATGAGTAAATTACTTGAAAAATGAAAATTGACAAGTCTGACATAAAAATGAAACAGAAAATTTCTTCTATCAAACTTTTAAAGAAATAAAATAACTGACAAAAATCTCATAAAAACCAAAAGGAAGAATACTTCTCAAATCTTATAATGAAAACAGCACTAACCTGATAGTAAAACACACACAAAAAAGCCATTACTTGAAAAATACAGAGTAAAATCTTTTTTTTTTTTTTTTGCCAGTCATGGGGCCTGAACTCTGGGCCTGGGTGCTGTCCCTCAGCTCTTCAGCTCAAGGCTAGCGCTCTACCACTTGAGTCATAGCGCCACTTCTGGCTTTTTCTGATTATGTGGTGCTGAGGAATCGAACCCAGGGCCTCATGCATGTAAGGGAAGCCCTCTACCACTGAGCCACCTTCCCAGCCCCCAGAATAAAATCTTTAAAAAATATAGATACAAAAATCCTCCCAACTGAATTGGCTCACTAATTTTGTGGGGTTTTTTTTTTTTTTTGCTGTTCTGATGTTTATGTGACACATCACGATCAAGTAAGGTAGGGTTCATCTCAGAAATACCATATTAGCTAAGCATTTGAAAAGCCATTTACACCACATATACTACCATTTTAACATTCTTATTTTAAAATGCTCATGAAATGATGGGTTTATTGTGTGTTTAATATGTAAAGAACAATGTATTATGAATCCTAACTCATTCAAATCCTAGGGAACTGGGCTGTAGCGTTTATCTAGCCTTTGTGAAGCTGTAGGTTTGATGCTCACCAATGCTAAGACAAAATAAATGAACAAATAATACAAATGCTAGGTTCAGTGACTACTAGCTTTGTGGACTGGTGTAAGTCATGATCTTAATGGTAATTTTTATATAGTAACTTCCTCAAAAAAAGGAACTACATAAATTTCAGTTGTCTTGTGTATGGAATGAAATTTAAGATACTTACCTTAAACACTAGTACCTTAAACACTAGTTTTTGTTGTTGATTTTAGGACAAGGTACTGCTATGTGGTCCAGGCTGTCCATGAACCAAGACACAGCTGCATCAATCTCCTGAGTGCTAGGATTACTGGTGTGTGCCAAGATGTCTGCCTATCATTGTAGCTTAATTTTCTGATTAGAATACACAAGGTTCAAATGTATTTAAAATACTGATTTCAAAGCCCAGGTATTTGGTGGGAGCTATATTCGGGTGTGATAGAACAAATGAGCAGTACAGAATATCACTGATGCACTTGTTTTGACAATCATATAATTATATCATAAATGGTGGAGGATGAGTTGGGTCTAGAATGATGGAAAGGATTAAGAATTTAGGGGGAAAAATGTCACAAGGGCTAGAGGGATTTATTTGGGCAAAGGTAAAGAGTTTGGTTATAATAAAACAGTAATAATGGCAGCTCATATTTAGTGAGTGTTTATAAGATGTGCCAAGTACATTACTCTATGTTATTATATTCATCTCTGACAATTTTATGAAGGGGGTACCATTATCATACTTTTATTACTTCAAGACTGGATTAATGTGCTTAAGAAAATTATTCAAGGTAATATAGCTACTAAGTAGCAGAGCTGAAATATTAATGTGGGTTCTGTAGCTTCTAAGTACAATCTCTTTTTATGTTTTATTGTTTATGTGGTCCTAGGGTCTGCGCTCTATCCCCTGAGTTTTTTTGCTTGAGGCTAGCACTCTACCACTTGAGCCACAGCTCTACTGTTTTTTTGCTAGTTAATTGGAGATAAGAGTTACTTTCCTGCCATGGCTGGCTTTGGACTTCAGTCTTCAGCTATCAGTCACCTGAGTAGCTAGGATTATAGACATGAGCTACAGGTGCCTAGCTAAATACAATTCTTACTAGAAGATTATTTAAAAATGTTAGAAGAGGGCTGGGAAGGTGGCTCAGTGGTAGAGTGTTTGCCTTGCATGCATGATGCCTTGGGTTGGATTCTTTAGCACCACATAAGCAGAAAAAGCCGGAAGTGGCACTGTGGCTCAAGTGGTTGAGTGCTAGCTTTGAGCTGAAGAGCTGAGGGAGAGCACCCAGGCCCAGACAGAGTTCAGGCCCATGACAAAAAGACAAAAAAAAAAAAAAAAAAAAAGGCCAGGCGCTGGTGGCTCATGCCTGTAATCCTAGCTACTCAGGAGGCTGAGATCTGAGGATCGTGGTTCAAAGCCAGCCCGGGCAGGGAAGTCCGTGAAACTCCTATCTTCAATAAACCACCAGAAAACCGGAAGTGGCACTGTACTCAAGTGGTAGAGTGCTAGCCTTGAGCTGAAGAGCAGAGGGACAGCGCTCAGGCCCAGAGTTCAAGCCCCACGACTTACCCCCCGAAAAAAAAAAAATTAGAAGGGAAATAAATGACATTTCCCATGAGGTTAACATCAAAAGCAATGGAGCTGTAAGAATTTCTGAGAAAAAGACTCAAGAAAAGAAATAATGAACAAGATGAGACTGTTTCTGTCTCATCTTGAAGCAAGAGAATTAGAGACTTGGAAAAAGCACTAAGATAAAGTAGTACCTTTAAAGATGTACTAAGAGAAACAGTAAAATATGCCAACAAGTCAAAAAAACACTGATGAAAGATAATTTAATTTGGTAGTCAAATTGAGAATGTAGACAAGAAAAAAAACATGTAAAATGTAAAAATTGAAGAAAATCTGTAAACTAATTTAAGAAAAGTATGAGTTTGAAGCCATTTTATTAAGAGAAATGAGTCCATGGAAAAGGAAATAAGTACCAGACTAGAAGGGAAGGAGAGATAACAGAAATAAAAATATATACAAATAGGCTATGATAATAGATTTTGAATGTTGAAGAATATTATTCAAGAAAGTACTAGAAAATGTAATGATCCTACTTAAGAACAGATTTTACATTTAAAAAGAAAAGTATTATCATTCCTACAACAACTGCCATTCAGAATCCACAAACTCACACATTCCTAACCTGCTTTCTGGTTTGCTTTAGTAGTCTTTAAGGTAGCTGATGGTGTTGGTAGAATCTTTGTAGGTGTATATGTATTTAGAGATATTTTTCTTCTTTGGACTGGACTGGATCGTGAGACAGTATAGGCTGGAACAAGATCAAATGAACAAAAATCACACATGAAAAGTTAATAATTCTTGCCAATTCTACCTTCACACTGTAAAGTGTTTTCATGACATAATTTAGTGACTCTAAAAGATGCATAATAATTGACATAAATAGTAGTAGTAGATAATAGACATAGTAAAGTCTACAGAGCAAATTCAGTAAAATCATCTTCCTCATAAAAAAAAGTTCTTTCATGGTCTTATCAAAATAGAGATTTTGCTCATATTATAAACACTTTGCCAGTAGGAATGCCAACAAGAATAAAGTAACATACTGAGTTTTACCTTGCATGATACAAACTGAGTCACTTAAGGGATGGCTGAGAGCTGATGGCATAGTTTTATTCTTACTACAACAGTCTGTAACTTCTAAGTCTGAGTTTCAATAATCAATCAAGATTCGAGTAATGACTGTATCAATCTGAGAGTATACTATAACTAGAATATATATAGTTAAGCAATCATCTTGCATTCCTGTTTTACCCAGCTGAGATTTATCATCATGAAAGGGAGGGAATTTGGAAGTTGTTTTATACCCTCCATAGTACTGCTTTCTAGCCAAAACGGAGAGAACAGAGTGGGGCAAAAAGAAAATGCTCTTTCAGTTAAAACCATGCCATAGTGTCTCTGCTCTTATTAAGTGCAAAAAATGTAACTATAGTATATTAAGTAAATATCAACTCATAGGTAATCTAAACCATATAAAATTCAGATAATTCCTTCATTCAAAAAGAATGAAAAAAAAAAAACATCCTCATAATCTAGAAGATCTGAATGTGTCTGGCTCAATGAAGTAGTTAATAGTTAATAGTCCTCAATTATGTCTATGCTTTTTTTTTTCATTTAAACTGTAAACTTTCCTCAAATTATTAAAAAACAATGGATCAATGCACATAAATACTCTGGATGAAGAGCCATAGTAAACTCAAGCTCTCACCATTTAACTTTTTCTCTTTCTGATGGATACCAAAGATTTTTGGGAACAAAAGGTTCTTTCATGTAGACCAAAAATCTACATTATTGGTTAAAGTTTACCTAATTCTATGAGCTGCATAAAGTAACTAACTTTTTCATATAGTTTTCTTAACAATGAAATTTTAAGAGAGCTAGAAAGACTTGGGATATAATTTGGACCCAAGTTATAGAGAAGAGTTAATTAGCACACCTGCAAGTTGAATCTAATAGTCTTTGCTCCATTAATATATCTTATTAATACACGTTGATGAACTGAATTCATTACAAAAATGAAGCTGTCATCAAGTAACACTATTACAGCATATACTTTAAAAGATTCTTTTTCTAACTATTCCATTAAAATTCTGTCAGAACAGTCAGCATTATTCCACTACATTGAAGTTATACACTGTAAATCTTCCAAAATTAAACAGTATTGATATCTACTCCAAACACTTATGTACTTACTGGAAGCTCTTTCAAGCTTGAAAATTTGAAATCCTTATCCCAAGGAAGCAATGGCTTATCAAGTATAAGGCAAAGGAGTAAACTACAATTTATTTAGATGATTTTGAGGAAGCGGCATTGCTTATTCTACTTCCTTAGAAGTAACATAAAAAGAGATGAACTCCTTTCATTTTCCTGGTTTTGACTTTGTAGCTGTTACTTTATTTGGAATATTATCGATGCTTGGTATCAGATACATTTCACATGCAAAAATCTGAAATTAAAAAATCTTTCCAACAGTTATCCCCAAAGTTTAATGGCTAGAAAAGCAAGGTCTTATCACTGAAGAAAAGTATTCTTTCTTAAAATTAATGCTGACTGAACTGGAAATTCTAACATGCTTAGAGATGTTATACAGAAAAAATGACTTTCCACACAAAATAAGTTAGTCAAAGCAATTTCCAAAATGACAGGTCTCAAAATAGTGTTACTTTATGTTCAATGTTACAAAAGATATTTTTCTTTTAAAAAAATGAAAAAAAAAAGCTTTGGCAAATCTGAGTTACTGTGTTTTTTCCAGTACTTCATCATTCTTATGTTCTAACTTAACTATACTTTTCCAAAGGGAGGTAAAGATACAGTAGTTTGTAAAACTTACTTAGTCAATGCCTTCTGTTCATACAAATGAATAAATTCTTCAGAATATTTCTAAGAAACATAAAAAAATTACTGTCCTAAGTTGTTATTTTTTAGTAAGAGCTATTTCCTACTTACTTACCCAAAGTAGTAAGAGGAGGGGCAAGCGTGTATGTGTGAGTTCACAGGAACTATCCTGTGGACTGATTATTCTTTAAATTATGTTAGAAATTATTTTTTTTGTTTTTTTTTTTAGAAATTATTTAAGATGATAATAAATTATATGAATGTAAGATTTCTAGCAAATATATTTCTACAAAAGATTATGGCTCTACATTATACTGTTGCTGGATTGTAGATATTTCTTTTATACAAGAAAGTGACTGGAGGAGAAATCAAGAAAAATAGTACATTGTACATTATACCCTTTCCCTCCTAAAGTTCTACTCACTCCAAGTATTACTTAAGTTTATATTTTTACATTATCTACTGCCCAACAATGAAATATGAAGGTAAATCTTCCTACACATTTCAGGAGTCTTGTCTAGAGCTTCACTTGATGGAGAAGCAATGAAAGCAAGAAAGTCATCCACCTGCTTTAAAGATAGAGCATTGTGAAGAGTTTCTAGAGGACAAATAGACGGCACCATGGAATACAATTCAAAGCCTACAAGAGAAAAAAAAACAAAAACAAAAATGAAAAGTAAAATTGAGTATTTTTAAAACTGATAACTAAAAAGGAAGAGAACCATTGTTTAGAAGTGGAAAATTTAGGTATTTCCAAGTTAACACATGCAAACACACAGATGTCTCAAGTCATGACACCAGATGCTCTGCAATATGGAGTTGAAACAAGATGTAACAAAGATTTCAGTTTAGATGTAATCACATAGTACATCATGAGCACAATTTCCTGCTATATTGATACAACCTAAGAATAAGACTTAAAAGGGGAAAAACCAAAGAGGAAAAATACATTTTTTTTAAAACTGGAGATTGAACCCAGGCCTTCTATTTGCAGTGTTCCACCACTGAGCCACATCCCAGCCCTTAATTTTTACTTTTTTGAGACAATGCTTCCCTAAGTTGCCTAGACTGACTTTGAACTTGTATCTAGTCCAGAAATGCCTCAAACTTTGCCTCCTGAGCAGCTGAGATTACAGGTGTGTGACATCGTGCCTGGTTCAGTTTTGTCTTTCAAAGCTGAATCTTTTCAATAGGTGAATAAGATAATGTCATGGTATGTACCTCATGCCAGAATGGTAAAGGTAATTTCTTGTCAAGTAAACCATTACTTATGAAGAATGAATTTCCTGTACTGAATTAACACCAATAATTTCTATTATTAGAAATCTTTGGTGAGTGCTTAGGTCAAATAAGTAAGCAATACAAGATAGAAATATGTCCATACTTAACAGTGACACAGAAATATAAAAAATTCATGAAACCACCATGCAGATATGCATTAATATGTATATATTAATATAGTTATTAACATATATTAATATGTATTAATCAGTAAGAAGCAAAGGCACTTAAACACAGTTTAATTTACAAAAATAAGATACAGGTTATTCACTTTTAAGAAAATTTTCACTTAAAGCTTATTCAACTGAATGTTTTTAAAAATTGCTTTTACATACTCTTAAAAGTATCAAGTTTTTCTGCATCCATTTTCCCAAAAGTTCAGACTAATTCTCCTTCAAAGAAATAAATTTTTTACTCTCACATAAAAATCCAATACAGTATTTAAAAAGTAAAAATTAGTAAAAATGAGCATGTGCTCATTTAAGAGTGGATTATTATTTTATTTATCTAAATCTTGAGAGAAATATTCATCCATAACTTCTGAAATTTTAAACTAGGATAGGGAAACTGATGAAAAGAAATCTAATTTTCCTATATAAACAATTTACAAAAGTGATGTTTAATTTTCAGATGCAAACAGAAACATGACAACACATTTCACATACTTCAAAACAACAAAACCTAAAAATATAACAGCAGCTAAAACATCTCAGTTAAGTACTGAAGAAATTAGGCTTGTACATTACATTTTTTTTAGTATAAAATTCATGCAAACAAGCTCAAATCCTTTCTTTGCATTACATTAAACTTGACACGTGTTTTTCTCCTTACCCCAGGATGTTCATATCTTTGGTAATTATTATTGTCTTTCATTTGTCTGCTAGATTTTATAAGTCAAATGACAATACAATAAAGTTTCTTTGGACTACATTTTTTTCACCATTTACCTTTAGTGTAAATTAGTTTAATGTGTAATGAAAAGTTTAGTGAGAAGTTTAAAAAGCCACTCTGCTGACATGTTTAGAAGCCATAAAAACATACCACTGGAGCCTAGAATTTCCACAGGGGAAACAGACCAGCACCTATAGAGGTGTAGTGTTCTGCACACAGGCCCCGAAAACAAGGGAAAGCACTGCCAGAAGACACTTGTCTCAGCATGTTCCTTGAACTAAAGATGAAGGAAGGGTAAGTCTATGATATATGTTAAACATGGAAATAACACGAAAGTTATATGGAAAAAAAGGTAAGTGAAAGATTCAAATGACAATTCATAGGACAGATAGACAACAACCACAGCATCAAAAAAACTTGAAAAACATATTTCTACAAGGGTGTAACATTGTTTAAAATAAACGTACTAGCTACCTTACTTATTAACTATAACCCCTCTGCACATGAACTTTGTAATAAAAAAAGAATTGCATTAAAAAAGAAGTATTTCTAGAATTTAAAGGAATGTGTTTTATATGCACTGTGTTGTATAATGTACGAAAAGCAACATTAAAAAAGAAAAGCCTAAATCAAAGCAATAAAATTACTCTATTTTCACTTTAATCTAACATATAGGAAGTGGCGCTGTAGCTCAAGTGGTAGAGCGCTCGCCTTGAGCTGAAGAGCTGAGGGACAACGCCCAGGCCCAGAGTTCAAGCCCCACGACCGACAAAAAAAAAAAAAAAAAAAAGTAATACACATCTAACATATGTATTACTATTTTTTTATTCTCAGTTAAATGCAGTTCTCCCATATAAAACCTGCAATACTGGCTTTAAAACACATAAGTGCACATGGTCCACTACTGATATTCTTCTTAAAATTTTACTTTTTTCTTGTGACTTGTGCTTTACTTCTGAGAGGTTCTTACGGATACTTTTTTTTTTTTTAAGTACCATTTAAATAGCTGGATACTTTTTTTTTTTTTAAGTACCATTTAAATAGCTGTAATAGAAGAAAGCAGGTTAGGCTTTAAAGCTAAACTTTTACTTGAGGATGAGATCTTATTTCACCTTCAAGCAGTATTAATGCACTGTAATCTAGATGTGTTGTTAAAGGAGTCCCCAAAGGAAGAAATGACCACAAACAGCTGAATCCTTAAATATCATAAAAGTTTGTGCTTTTAAAAAATTTTAATTAAAAGTTTGAAAGTAAAAATAAGAATAAAAAGAGCTCCAGAGGTGAAAATATTTTAATATTACTTATTAAAACAATACTTTGGAACTTAAATATTTTTTAAAAATCTGTAAATATTCCCTCTTAAACCACAAGCTCATTATTTATTTAGGAAGCTATAATACAACCGCAATTCAACTTATAAATTATGGCCAAGAAACATGTTCCTATTTAGCTCCAAAAACTGAATGTAGCTCAATTGTTTCTCTAGATTTTAATTTGAATCTTCTTCCTACCTAGAAATCCTCCACATTTTAAGAAAAAGCAGTATGCCAGAGGAAGTGGTTGTTTGGAAATAGCAAACTATATTGCAACATAAGGACAAAGCAAATGCTGCAGTTTCCAGAGTGCTCCAGACCAAGTCCAGTTCTGCGTTAGACAAATAGCCAGGGACAGTAATACACAGGGACACCTGGATGAGCTGGTTTCCTGGAAATTTTTAAAGACATTTCTCATTTGGCTCTTTGACATGGGTTGCTCTGTATTTTTATTAACTATCTCAGTAATAAAAACCATGTGACTAGGAAAGGAATTAGGAAGGAAATAAAAAAAAAACATTAAAATTATTAAGAATTAAGAACAAATTAAGAAATATTGATTGTATTTAAAAATCTGTATAAACTGATTACTTAAAAATTAGAATTTTCAGGTGTTAATTTAGGATTAAAACTCATTATTATTGTGGTCATTTAAATGTTTGATGAGTAATGTTAAATTACTATGAAATTACAACTGAAAAAAAAAGAGCTAGACAGTATCAATAATTTGGGCAAGTAATAAATTGGAACTATATGCCAATTAAAATTAAGGATGGAGAATGATACTGTATATCCCAGTCAAATAAAAGAAAAATTAAAAAGGGATGAAGCAGGGGAGTATCTTTTAAAATAAAAGCAAAACGTACCATTGGTTGGGTGTCGAGCAAATGAGATAGAAAACCTTTTAACAGCAGAACCGCGTGTGGCGTCTGAGAAAGAGAAAAACAGGTACCTGAAATTTGTAATAGCTGCCAAAAGAACACTTAACAAAAAGAGGGAAAAACAAATATATGAGGAGGTTAGAGTTAGGTGACATGCAGAAGGGACAGTGAGAGAAAGTAATAAGCCAAATACTGGTTAAAAGCAGTAAACTGGCTTGATGATAGAGGCAAAATGTTTAAAGAAATACATAAAGAAAGAAAAGCAGGATGAGCTGGCAGTTCAGGTAAACCCATGTTGTAATAACTAAAGTAAACTCATGTATATATTTGAAGAAATACTGGTTGTGAAAGAGCTAAAAAGCTTCTTGGTGAACAAAAGGGACACATTTTCTGTGAATCTCAAAAGTATTTTGAGTATCAAAATATCAAAAGTTACATTAACAACAGTACAGGACTTCCTTTATATTCTTATTCTATGTTCATTTTATGAAAACATCACCTATATATTTTTTGTATTAATAAACATGACATTTGCTTTAGTTTGTCAATATCAGAGGTTAACAATGAAGAAAAGTTTAAGATGAAAAAAAGTTAATTTTTGTAATATGGATTATCAGTTATCTAAAAGAAGATCATAATGAAGCTTTTTATTTTCCATTATAGCAAGCTACTTATTGTATAAGTTCTATAAGTTTAATACAGGTTTTAACTGTTTGATCAAAGATAGATTCGAGCTGTGGAAAACAGAGAGCACTAGAAGTCATTTATGAAAAGGATGATAGGATTCCACGCTGGCCTTAGACTTGCTTTTGAGAAATACTGCTCATGGGTGTGTGCGTGGGTGTAGGTATGAGTTTGAGTGTGCATATGTGCACATACCATCTATGCAGCCAGAAGAAGTCAGCTTTTTACGATGAGTACGAGCATAATCTTGTAGGTTAGGAGCGCTTGAAGAACCCCCGAGCACTGAGGTGCTAAACAGGCCCGAACAGTGAGACCCTGATGGAAGTTAGAGAAAATACATACAAAAACGGGTGTTCTTCCATTCACATTGGGAAATCATGCAGCATGCAGTTAACATGGTCTTACCAACACACAGGTAGCCTGTGGCAGGGCCTTGAACAGGCTCACATATGCTTGCAGTTTTAATAGTGATAGTTTTAATACAATGCTTTTGATAAGCACTATTATATATCAAATTTATGAATGAGGCAAACAGTGCTGGAAAAAATGCTACCTTTGAGAAAATATCCCCAGACAATGACCAGACATTCACATCCTAAACATATTAAAAATACCACCATATAAAATAGTTTAGGATGAGAAGGAATTTGGAAAACCTACTTTTAAGAATCAATATATAGCCAGGCGCCAGTAGCTACTGCCTGTAATCCAACCCTACTCACAAGGCTGAAATCTAAGGATCTCAGTTCAAAGCCAGACCAGGTAGAAAAGTGCATGAAACTCTTATCACAATTAACCACCAACAAGCCAGAAGTGGAGAAGTGGCTCAAGTGGTATTCAGCCAACATTAAGTGAAAAAGCTAAAGGACAGAGCCTAGGCCCTAGTTCAAACCCCAGTACCGGCAATTAAAAAAATAAAAAATAAAAAAAGCATATTTCCTGGCACAATTAATTTACAATAAATCAGTATTCTTTAAATGCTTGCAAAAAATCTTTCTGATGCCTTGACTTAAGAATTATCAATAATTCTTAAAAAGAAAGTAATTAAATCTTACTTATTTGTGACAACAGGCAAAAAAATTTCAGTCATGCAAACCAGTGTACATTTATGCTTAATTTTTAGCAGAATTCTTACATTCAAGCAAAAGTATAACCATTATTTCTGTCAAATATAGTGACAGTTAAATAAAAAGGGTTAGTATATAAGTTTCCATAATGAAACTTGTGAATATTAAGCCTTAAATATATGGCATATGTATGTAATTAGCTCAAGAAAGATCCTCATATATGGGAATCAATATAGCTCAAACACCAAGTAGAGAGACTATAGTATATATATACAGAGTTTAACTTACAATGAAGTCTATTCATGCTTTCATTCAACTTATTTGGGCAAGAATTTATCAAAAGTTTTTTTTTTTTTTTTTAATCAATATTGGGTTTAAAACTTGTTTTCCAATGTTGCTGTCAGCAAAGAAGCACTTATGCTTAGAGCTCAAAAAAAAAAAAAAAGGTAAGGTTGAAACTGTGCATTAATTTTGCTTTAGTTTTCCTTAAAATCTGCTCACAAGGAAAATGAATAAACTCAAATTGGGTTTGAAACACTTTTCACTTAAATATCTTTCGAGTAGAAAGAAGCTTTTTGCAGGCAATAGCATCTTTTCATTCATTATCAATCAGGGAAATGAAATGTCCTTCATAAATTAACTTACACAGTACAAGGTTAGAACACAGCATTGGCAAGTAGATTAAATGGTTACCGTAGTAGGCATTCAAAGGGTTACAACACAAAATTAAAAATTTTCATTGAGCTGTACAACAAAACATTTCTGAATTAGTACATATTAATTACAAACTAAGCATAACATTTGGTCATGCTATTACCCCTGATGAGTTTTACACATGTATACAATAGTGAGTTTATGAAGGATATATAATACAAAATTTCCTTTGCACCACATACCTATAGTAGAGCTCTGCTTCTGTTCCACTAGAGTTCTTGGTGTTCGTAGGTAATTAGCATTTTCAGATACAACCTGTGTAAGGAACATGAAATAAGTGAAATAAAACAGAAAAAGGAACTCAAAAATCCATACTTCATATGCAGCCTGTTTCAGACAGACAAAGGTTAATAAGCTGTATGATAAATATTAGTAGAGACACACAAAACATGAAAGATCATGCAAGATCCCGTCTTAAGGGAGTCCATTTCATATGTGGTCGTTGCAATGAGGTGGTGCAAAGCAGGCATTCAGAATGAAACATCATGTATGAAACAAGACAGATGAGAAGAAATAATTACTAGATTGATATAATTTTATTCTCTTTTAAAAGAAGCCAAATTCCCATTCTTAAACAGCTCCTGTATTTGAAGGGGGGAAAAAACAACCACAAACAAAAGAAAAGACAGAGACTGTTGAGGTCACCATAGAAGTACTGATCCATGCATGGGCTTTATCAGAGTAACCTTTAAATATTGACAGCCTTAATGGATACCATAATCCCTTTTGCTATAATTAAATGCATTATATTTCCAAAGGAAATTGCTGAAATTATCAATGAAGTCATCTGTGACAGCAGATCTTCCATTGAAACAAAACAAAAAGTATTTTAAGTTTCTAAATGACATCACAGAAAGTCCTTCTGAAGTCATTTTATTTTTAATTATATGGTTTGATGGGCACATACGACTTGCCTGTTAAAGTTCAAAGAAAAACATATTGTATATATCCCTTAAAAAACATATTATATATATCCCTTAATTATACACTGTGACATAAAGGAATAGTGAGGGAAAGAGCAATCACTAATAGATGTATCTTGCTATTTACACCAGGCCATGTAAATTTTGACACTTAAATGTTTAAATTCTCAGCACATTTCAAATGGAATAAAAAAATTTTATTTATGGAGTACAGGCTAAGTACACTTTCATATAATGAAATTTCATAATTATTTTTCTAAAAGTTTTCAAAAAACAAGTAAAAGAAAGATTTTTTCTTTGTAAGTAATTAAATCAGCAGGCTAAAGATCCAGAATAAAATTTATTGATGATTTTAAAAAATCCTGGATATGTAAAACTTTCTCAGTAAAAAGGCTAATAAGCGCATGCAATGTGAGCAGTTATTCTTTCCCTCAAATATTGTCAGATATCAAATTATTTTTAAACAAGCTTAAAATTTAAAAACAGAAGGATTTACTCTGATGTAAAATTGTAAGGGATTAGATGTCCTCAAAGACAGCTCTTTGTTGCTCTGAATGCAGGGAAGAAAAATGTTTAATGAAGTAAAGTTTAAAAACCTGTTGCCATGAGCCAAAAATACTGGATGTGAAAGCCAATGATTTGGGGGAGACAGGGGAAGAAGTGATTTGTTCCCCTGATCTGCGTCTTCGACGCCCAGTACCCACACCACTGGTATAATGCAGCCAGGTACCAGTACCCTCTGGGCTAGACACACTCAGGGGGCTCTCTTCCTGGAAGTGAGAAAGGGGGCAAAAAACAAACAAACAAACAAACAAAAAGCAGAGCATGCAAAGTTAGATACAACAGAGCCAAATGATCAGAAAGAAAAAAAAATACAGTTTAAAAACTATTAAACAGTAATTTGGGAGCCAAAGGATAATGATTATAAAAATATCTGATTAACTTAAAATACTTTTAATACTGCTTTCATAATTAAAATTTCTCTCTAAAAACTGGAATAATTTTAATACTTCTTTTTTGGCAACTATTTAAATATGAAAGTATTTTGCTTCATTTTAGATATTGATAAGATTTTGTGCTATTTGAGGTGAGTACTTCAGTAAAAGCACAAAGATTGTATAAAGGGTTAAAGATTTTTCATATACTGTGAAAAAGTCTGTCTGCTTGACATGTAAAAAAATTCATAAGATGGACACTGATTGTATTTTTTTATACTTTCAGGCTATGTGTTTATCCACTCCCAAAGATTATTTTACAAAGTTCAGTAGGCAAAACATGCAGCAAAACATTCTAATTGTTCCATGTTTGTGTTTGCATATTCAGTTTTGTATCCATGAGGACAAAGTAAAATCTACTTGCACAAAATGAAAACAATAGTCTTTTTCTCTGTATATCTTTTGAAAGTACAAATTTCTATCTCCATGTGTCAGAAAGAGTCTTCAAGGTTTTACTTGAATAATTTATCTTAAGGAAGTAAATGTTTTGTATGGTAGAGACATAATCTCTCACAAACAACTAAGTATTCATGAGAAAATATGTTCTGTACTCTAAGGGACAAGGGCAGTGATTTAGTTGAAGCTTTATAAATATAGATGGGTTGCAAAGTCAAGACTCAAAATATTTTGTGCTGTGTCCGTATTACAAAGGCCTTCTGGGAGGCAGAAGAGGGTTTGATTGTGAAATTCTAAACAAACTGGTTAACTGCAGATTGCTGTTCATAACACATCAAAATCACTGACCTCACACAAATGGTGGTTTAGGTTATATTCATAGAAATCATTTCTAGCATTTCAAAGATTAGCATACCTGGACATAGCCACAGAATTCTCATTTTTCAAATAAAATATAATAGAATAAATAATCAAGTACTTGTTAACCATTCTCTTTGTTTTTAAAACATAACCCCCCTTTTATAATTAAAATAAAATGTCATATTCAAGATAAGCCTAATTAGTATAACTTATAATGACCTACTTTTTATTAAATGATCAAGCCAAAAGGATCTATATTATTAATAGATTGTTTTCTTAGATACAATTGTCAAGTTATTTGAGATTTGAGAATCTTAAAACACACTTATACAATTTGTTATTGTAAAAATGAACTTTTCTTTTTTCTTTTTGATTATTCATATTCTTATCTGTTAAGACTTGTTATATGCAAACTTCAACAAAAATGTATCTTAAAATCTGGTGGTTCTAGCTTTAGACTAATTTAGCTAGTTTTTGTTAGAAAAGACGTTAAGTATTGACACTAATCAGAACTACAAAAATCATTCTAGAGTAGATAACTCAAAATAAGGAGTACAAAAAAATAAGATGATAAAAAATTTAATCACTATACTAATTGTTCAACTTTAATTTGAAGGATTTGGTTATTTAAATATCGTTCTGTTAGTATGTATAATCTGTTTACCTATTTAATTATAGTTCTTAATACAAAGGTAGCTTTTTCAGTTATACCATAAAAATCTCAAACTTATATACAGATATTTACAATCATGTTAAAAATTTGGAATAGCATATTTTAACCTGAGTGCTACTGGAATCAGTTATTGTTGAAGCACTTTTTGCAATTCTTGTATACTTTTAACAAAATAAAAAATTTTTATGCACTAAAAGGCAGACTCTTTAAAATAATTTTTATTGAAGAATAATCTAATGTGACATGACAAATATCAGTCTATCAAGTTGTTATGAAGGCCTTATTTAATATTTGAATTAAATTCTAGTAAAAATTATATACAAAGTGCTGTTTTAAAACTCATCTGTTTGTTTTCCTATTGTTGCTACATTTAAAAAATTTGTTTGAAAAAATAGACAAAGTTGACGAAAATTTGTCAGGATCCCAAGCTCTATAATTAAAGCTGTATTTTCTTTTCATTTTTATTGATAAATATATATATATATATATATAGTTAGTTAACTTTACGAAAAACATGCTTTGACAGATACACTTACTTCGCTGGTAGCCACCTTCCTAGCTCGAGGAAGTGGAGACTTCCTGTGTATATGAATTGGTTCTGATACCATTGGTTTAAACAATAGCACAGCTCGATCAGTCTCATCTCTTTTAGAAGTATGAGGTTCATCATCATTATCAATTTTAAAAGATCTCCTGCCTTCATTCTGTGAGAAAATACAGTACACTTAAAATTCAAGTTAAAAAATTTCCTTAGAGTGATAGTGGTAAAGCACTATAATCTGAACACTCAAGATACTGAGGCAGCAAGATCGGGATTTCCGGGCTGGTAGGGGATACGTGGTAAGATCCTTTCTCAAAGGACCACTTACTCCCCTCCCCAAACAAAATTCTTTCAAATTCAAAAACAAATTCAAATACCAATAAGTAATCACCATAACTTTTTTTGTCTCAAATGAATTAATATTAAACAAACTCTTATAACAATCTAATTTTATACTACTAGGTAGCTTGAGAAAGTCTTGACTTCAAAATATGTACTCTATGGAGATGTTAAACCAACAAATTTTTAAGAAGACAATTAAAAAAACATATATTTCCAGGCACAGTAGCTCTGCCTATAATCCCAATTACTAAGAAAGCAGAGGCCATGAGAAGTTCAATTTCAGGCCAACCTGGGGAAAAGTTAGAGAGACTCCATCTAATAAAATAATACTAGCATGGTGGCTCATGCTTATAATCCGAGCAGAGGCACAGGTAGGAGAATGGAAGGCAGAAGTGTGATACATTATCTAAAATATAACTAATGCAAAGAAAAAATGGAAGTTGAGGATTGCTCAGGGGTTCGGGTTCCTAACAAACATGAGGCCATGAGTTCAAACCCACAGGTTAAAAAGAAATTTATGTATATATGAAGTATTCAGTTCAGTATCATCAAACATGCAAACAACAATAACAGGTAACAATATGAAAGTAAAGATTAATTTTAAAACAATGAGATGTACAAGACACCATGTCAAAAAACAAACTTTACAATTTAGGCAGGTGTGTGTGTGTGTGTGTGTGTGTGTGTGTGTGAGTGTGTGTGTGTGTGTGTGTGTGTGTGTGTGTGTGTGTGTGTGTGTGTAGGGGGGTTGTAGTTGTGGAGATGGGAGGATAGGGATGGTAGGGGAAAAACAAAGGAGGAAGATAAGAAATGTACTCATTACCTTGCTCATGTGATTGTAACCCCTCTGTACAGTATTTTCACAATAAAAAAAACTTATTTGAAAAATACAAATAAAATAAAAAAATTCATTTAAATATATAGAAATGTTCTCAATCCAGGGACAAAATAAAACAGCTTTAAAATATGTGAATTTTAGAATTCTTTAATTCTACCCTAAATATTTCCAATAAATGTGATAATGCATAAAAATAATCATTCAATAATATATTAATACTACATTTAATGTATACCATGTACTAGGGATTATTCTAGGATACAGATACATAAAGTACAATTTCCATTCTACAATTTTCTTTTTCTTTTCTAGGTGGGGAGGGGGCGGGGAGAACGGGGACTGTCCTGGGATTTGGGTTTTGTGCTTGCTATAGCAGGCACTAAATCTTCATTTTTGCCCTGGTCACTCCCTCCTTTCCTTTTTTCCTTTCCCTCGCTTCCTCCCTCCCTCCTTCCTTCCTTCCTGTCCTCCTTTTCTGCCTGCCTTCCTCTCCCCCCACTCCCTTCTACCTTTCTGCTGACCTTCCTGACTTCCCTCCTCCTTCCTTCCCTCTCTATCCTTCCCTCTTCTTCTCCCTACCTACCTACCTGTGTGCTGTCCCTGAGCTTCTTTGCTCAAGGCTAGCACTTTAACACTTGGGCCACAGCTTCACTTCTAGCTTTTGGGTCGTTAATTGGAAGATAACTGTCTCATGAACTTTCTGTTTTGGCTGGCTCAGAATATGATCCTCAGATCTCAGCTTCCTCGTTAGCAAGAATTATAGGAGTGAGCCACCTGGCTTTGCTCTGGGTATTTCTGACACAGAGTCTCATTTGTTTGCATCAGACAGCCTAGACCGTGGTCCTACTATTTATTTACACTTCCCAAAACAGCTAACAGGAACAAGCAATATACCCAGCCTTTTCTGTTGAGATGAGGCCTTATAAACGTTTTTGCCAAAGCTGGCCTGGAATTACAGTCCTCCCAATCTTACCTTTTCCTGTAGCTTTGATTATAGGGCATGCCACTGAGCTCAGCTCCGTGAGTTAGGATGAGGCCTCAAGCTATGATTCTGCTGAACTCAAGTCTTCATATTTTCTAGGCAGGTACTCTACTACTAGGTACTCACACGACCAGCCCTTTTTACTTTAGTTATTTTTCACATAAGGCCTCATATTTTTAACCAGGGCTGGCTTTGGATAGTGGCCATCTTTTTAGGCTTTTTGGTATTAAAAACGTATGTACTACCATGCAGGTTTATTTGTTGATTTGCAGACTTGATAACTTTTTGCCCAGGCTGGCTTTGAACTACTACGATCCTTATCTTTGCCTCCTGAGTAGCTCAATTTATAGATATGAGTTAGCATGGTCAGCAATATTCTATAAGAGCATTCTAATGGTCCTAGTCTAAACAAATATTTACTTAAACAATAATAATGAGATTTAAAATATATTTCCTAAAATATGAGTAAGTAAAAATATAACAATAAGATGGGAGAGTAAATATAATTAAAATATTTCGTATTGCCTACTAAATATTAAAAGTTCTTCTGACATTAACAAGTCAGGGATTCATATTATTACTCAAGACTAGCCATTAAAATGATAGCAAAATAATGTAAAATTACCAGTCATCCTATTGGTGGAAAATAATTTCAAGAAAGTCAATAAATGAGAAGAAAACAAATACAAAAATGTAGAACAAATAGAAAAATAGTGAGTGGTTTAAGGTGATATAATAAACCCTCCCAAAAGTCAAGTTTTATTATTCAAAGATAAGATTATGAAACTGCATAAAAATTAAATGTATCTTTTTAAAAAATATCTTTAAGTGGTTGTACAAAAGAATTTCAATTCAACATATCAGTTTTTAAGAAAACTGTATCTTGATCAATGTCATTCCTTCAAAACTTAAATATATTTTATCTAAAGAAGTCACACTACAAAAGGTTGAAAGTAAATGGGTAGGAAGACGTAATGGGAAAAGAGATACCATTTAATCCTTTTCAACTGAGATTTCACAAGAGAATTAACTGCTAACATATTATCAGACAATACATGTAATGTACATCCAGAATATTTTATTATACCATTTTATTATACTTGTGAGAATTGAGGACATACTCACCAGAATTATTGTGTTATTTGAGAAACCTGAAAACAATTTACACACTAATGGTAAGAAATCCTACTAGAAATAAATTAGGAAGCCAAAGAGGTTCAGTATACATAAGAATAAAGAATAAATGTGAGTAAAAAGCATATAGAAGAGAAGCATGTGTGAGGTATGCATATGATTTATAAGAGTATATGAAGAATACTTGAGTTTTTTCCAGGAGGAAAGATTCATTTTTTAATCACAAGACCCATTTCAAAGGCTATAGGGTCATTCATTTTCTTACAGTCTTTTATACCCTTTCTTATAGACTAGCTCCTGACAGAAAGAAGTATCAAGTATAAACTCCAATTTTCTCTGTTAATTATCTGTTTTATTTTTTTTGAGACAATCTTCCTTTGTAGCCCAGGCTACCCTTGAATTTGTGATCCTTCTTCCTCAGACTCACAAGTGCTAAGATTACAACTGTGCACTACCACGTCTGGGGCTTTCTGTAAGACAGAAAGCTTATATAGTCCTCATTTTGACTGGAAAATTTAATAAACATTTATTTCCTTTTCTCCCTGAAGTGTATATTTTTTAGAGTGGCACTGTTTTGTTTTTGTGCTAGAAGGCAAGTCTACATTCAATATATCCCACAATATATTTATGAATTAAAATCATTGAATTCAGGAGACTAGATCTCTGTCATCAGTAGTACATTAATTAAAGAAATTGAAAATGTAAGTAAAAATATTCCCAAATAGTCTTAAATATTTCATATCTAGAGAGTTTCTACACAACCAATTTTAATAAGTATTTCAGGTAAAAAAATAGCACAAAACTTATATAAAATCATCCAGACAGTATTTAGTCCTTAATACAGAAAAAATGAAAATGGAATATCTCACATCAAGCGCTAGGCAGAAGTACTATTTAGCAGAAGTACTACTTCAGTAAAACAACAACAAAAATTATACTTTGCCAATCTGAACATTTGGCTTCAAATGAAAAATTTAGAAAGTTAAAATTTTAAAAATTTTAAAAATGTCCATCTAAATCATATTTTCAAAAGTTTAAGCTGTTGGTGATAAGAATTATGTATAGGACATAACAGAAAACTTCAAGAAGCCTTATGGAAATCTAGGACGGTGGTAACCAAGCACTGCAAGTTCTCTACATGTCTTCATTACCTCTCTGGAGGCAGGTCTATATCCGTAGCCAGATGGTAAATTTTTATCTTCTTCACAGCCCTTGGCTCCTGGACTAAAGTGTAATTCAACATGAAAGCGTTCCTCTGATGAAAGATCCTAAAAATATGAAAAATATCTTTACAGTGAAGAACTTCAAGTATTCATTTGCCCCTGGTAACATAAATCAAGAACTCTTTTACCTTGTTAGGATCCTCATAAAGCATGATAACAATCTGTGTCATGTAGTTGAGTTCATTAACAACTTTTAAATAGTCCATAGCTCGTTTCCACTGTTCATCCTTTGATTCCTAATCAAATGGTATAGGGTAAGAATTTTTCCATTCTATATTCCTAAAATTCACTTTATTATCAATTTCAGAGTTTGTTTAATCCTGTGTGATACCATATATATTAGGTGAATACTTACATGAAAAATCTTTCAAATTCACCATCTTACTGTGTCTTAAGCTAGTTTAAACAAATATCAATAGTATCAGAAACTCTTAAGTCCTGAAACAGTTTCTACAAAATAAAAATCATGTTTTGAAATATGACACCCACTAATGAAGGAACAGAGGGTAAGGAACAAAGATACCAAGCAGAGTAGCTATCATAGTTCTTAACACCATATATTAACCGTATGTTTTTCTTCTCAATATAATGAAGTCTGTGTTTGTGATGTACATACATAGTGAATATCCTTTACATACAATGATTCTAAAATGTCAGCAGGAGGAGGCATATTGAAGTTCCATTGACCTTACCATCTTGTACCATTCCCCCATCTTCATTTAGAGAATTACTGATCTTTAAATATCTTCACAGAACATCAGAATCAAAAGATATTATTACAGAACATATGTTATAAGCATTAAAGTAGAAGATGTAAAATTAGTCAAAAAGTAAAGTCCATAGTTAATTGTCATCAAAGTCTTTACAAACTTTATGTAGATTGAAGATAGTTTTTTTTTTCCTTTTTTTTTTTTTTTTTTTTTGCGGGGGTCCGGTCATGGGGCCTGAACTCTGGGCCTAGGCGCTGCCCCTCAGCTCTTCAGCTCAAGGCTAGTGCTCTACCACTTGAGCCACAGTGCCACTTCCGGCTTTTTTCTTTTTTGCTTATGTGGTGCTAAGGAATCTAACCCAGGGCCTCAAGCATGCAAGGCAAGCGCTCTACCACTGAGTCACCTTCCCAGCCCGAAGATAGTTTTCTTTTATTGTATGTAAGCCTTAAGTGTACTATAAAAGCACTCAACAATTTTATACCTAACAAAGGCATATAATATTGTGAACTTCATTATCGAATGTGCTTGTTTTAAAAAATATATAAGACTTCTTGCCATTACATATTTCTTATTTCATATTTCTTTTTCACTGTTTAGTATTTCCTTCAAAGTATTTAGTATTTCCTTTACATTGTTTTTCCTAAACTAAGAAGCTATAGAATTAAAATAAAAAGGTATCACTTTGTAGGTGAATAGATGTATGTGTTTCGGGGATGAATATTTGTGATAATATGTTCAAATTTCAAAACTGTAAATAGCATAAATTAGTATAGTATTTCTAAGTTTCACTAAATGCAAATTATTAAAAATAATAAGCTTAAATTAAATACTATTTTATTTGATGAAGTAAATGAGATTTTTATTATACATTATAAAGAATACTACCTAGGTTCAGTGTTATAGATGCAGATTTTTACTAAGTCTGTCCTAAAGAATATTTAAAATTAAATAACATTTAGTGGTATCTTCTTGAACACAGTATGTAAGAAACCACAATCATTTTTTTAAAGTGAAGACCACTTTCTGTACCTAACTTCTGAAATCTAGCTAGAATTTTGAATTCAATTCAAACAAAAAAAAAATTAGAAAATAGGACACCATTGGTATCATCATTAATTTTTACTTTAGACAATACATCAATTTTTCTGAAGTACATATTTTTTAAAGAGTAGGACTGTTTTGTTTTTGTGCTAGAAAGCAAGTCTACATTCAATATATCCCAATAAGCTCTAGATCCACTCCCACAACCCTTGTCCAAATTACATGACTGACAACTTCCAAGTCTTTATCACACACTTCTCTGCTTTAAACCTTGCTACTCACATTAGAAATCCAAGCAGATTTGGAATCCTTATCTGCTGCCAGTTTATCCATCATTCTAAACACAGGCATTCTATCAGTTCCTATACTCTTCATGTTCTTTCTACTTTATATCGTATATAAAGGATTAACAAGAGTACCATGTTAGAGATACGTGTCTCTTTTCCCTCCAAAAAAATAAAGTATACAAACTCTTGTCTTGATCACAATCTCCTAAGTAGCTAAGATTATAGGTGTAAGCCATCAGCAGTACCAGGCTATAATTTGAAATTTTGATGGGACTAAAACACTGAAATAGCCTTAGGATAATTTTGATCATTATTATTATCAAGGCCTAGTAATGATATAGACACATACCAAATCATCACCATTTCTAAGTATGAAAAAATTTTCTGTTAAAGATCACTTTGTATACAATTGTGAATGCCAATATATGCTGGAAAAAAAAGCACAGGAAAATTTTTTATCTTTTTGTGAGTTTAGAGACGAGATTCTAGACTCTTAAATTTACGTGGTAAATTTACCTAGAGGATGCTGGAGAGGCTAAGTGAACTTTGCTTGTGGGAAGAAACTGTTGTGCCCTTGAATAAGCACACTAAGGCAGAATGTGTTTTCCAGCATTGACCACCACATATATTTACCCTGTATATTTTTTATAGTAATACTCTGCTCACTTAGTGAGTTAATTTCCATTGTTTTAAATCTGGATACAGCTTTCTGTGTCTTCCTGGACCAAAGGCTTCAGTAGAAGTGACACAGAAATGCCACATGCTTGTTTCCTAGGAAGCTCCCTTTTGTAACTCAAATTTATTTTGAGGAAGCAAGTCACACGAGTGGTCTGATATTACTCTGGTTGACAATTCCAGGTAAGGTCTCAACTAACAGTCAATATATTAGACATGAGAGTATATACTAAACATGAGAGAACATTTTTGAGATGACATGAATGGCAGGCCCTGTCTGACTGTAACCTCAGGAGACCCTTAAGTTAAACTACCTAACTGATGCTAGTCAACCCTCTGAACTCTGAATCTTGGTGTGTTATTATATGGCACATAAGAGGCACATGTCTAATCATACACTTAAGACTTGTCAAGTCTGACCTCAAAATGCTCATATTTATCAGCATCTCTTTATCCTACCTGTATATACATAGCACTTTAAAGTACTTTAGATATAAAGTACTTCATTATCACTTGAGTAAATTGGTCTTCTCAGAAGGAAAGAGAACATGTCTCTATTCTAGAAGTCTTAACAACATGTTCAGCATATATCAAGTCCTTGAAAAGTTATGGAAAATCAAAACAATTAGTACCACAGTAGTACAAGCAACTTGACTACAAATTCAAGGAAACAAAATTGTCACTAAAGACTGGAATAACTTATACTTACATCGCATAAGGCACCATAGCGAAGTATTGACAGTAAAGAATGTACATGGCTTTCACTGGTGAAATATAATCTAGTACGGACATGACGATCAGGAGATAAAACACCTCTGGAATACCTAAAGATAGAAGTAGACAGTGCTAAAATGTAACTACTCAAAAATTATTGTCTCAAAATTGTTGTATAAGATAGAATCTAACACTATTAGAAAAGCCCCAAGTATATAAATCTATACATTTTCCAACCACAACAAAGGACTTACTTTGATATTTTGATAGATAAGGGATAGGAAAGGGAAAGGATAAGCCTATTCCACTTTGTTTTTCAGGAAAAGATTATAATGTTGAATAAGTAAATGTTGAGTAAATTTAATTAACAAACTGTAGTAATTAAGTTCACTGTAAAAGAGATCACCAGTGGTCTTAGACCTAAATATCCTCAAACACTAATGCTTTCCACAGGACACACACCGATGATACCACATAATGACAATATACATCTTTTCCCAAGTTCACTACAGATTTTCTCCAATTTAGCATCACAGTGGGTCATTCCTGTAACTCTAGTATTTAGGAAATGGAGGAAGGGGGTATCAAGTTCAAGGTTAGCCTAAATTATAGTGAGATCCAGTCTCAAAAAACCCATGTTGGGGATGGCACTCAGTGGCAGTGTTTGCCAAGTATGTGTAAGGCCCTGGATCTGATCCTTAGCACTACTAAAACCTAATTAAGAATCTCTAGGCAATCTATTTCTACAGTATACCAAATTACACACTCCTGACTTCTACACAAAAACATCAAAAGAGTAAGTAGATTTGAAGTGTGCAAAAATAGACACACATGGACTAAAACAACTAACAGGTTCTTACACGGGATGGAGTTTATTTACAGTGTCATCATCTTGTGTCCTCTGAAGGTCTGAGCGAATTTTTCTAACTAGAGGAGTACAGTAGCCTTTGGCAATCTCCAGTTTTTCAGCTTTAGTTATACCATATTCCTGAGAGAAAATACATAGTATTAGACAAGGGATATAATCATTAAGAGCTCCAAACTCTTGAAATAAAGAATTCTACTGAGACACAAATATATTATTAAAATTTGTTGGAACATTAGAGATCTTGAAAGTTTGACATTTTTTCAACTGCAAATATACTACGTTCAAATTAATAGGTATAATAGGAAGTATTCTGTGGTGAAACTGACAAAGCAAGGAACTTACTTCTAAAGAGGACAGAATGAACAGAGGAATACAATTTTTATGAGTAGTTTCACATAATATTAAAAGATGGACTGAAAATAGGAAAACTAAAATACAGAATAGGCAATTAACATAAAAAGAAATAGAAACTTAAATCAAGAGAATTTTACCGATCAAGATGGCAAAGATTAAAAAGCCCAACACATGATTAGACTCAGACTTTTGCCAATATGTTAAAGTTCTAACTGGTAGTAAGAAAAGATGCCACAGAATGATTAAACTTAACACTTATAATCACGAATTAATCAGAACCATAAGGAATTGATTAAAGGTGAAAAATCAAGACAATATAGTAATTTTATAGTAAACTGTAATGAAATTAGCTTCAAAGTCACAGGTTATAAATTGATTTTATATGAAAAAAGGAAATTTGTGATTTGTGTGAATGACAACAATGGAAAAGGGAAAAGGAATAAAGTGGGGAGTGGGGACCCAGACAGGAAGAAAGGAGAATATCCTAACAGAAATTCACACACAGCTGCTCCCCATGTTTATTTTGGGACACTTCTGCTTAAAACTACTTCCTGCCAAAAGAATATCCATAAAGATTCAGATGCCAAAACATCAGAATAGATAACATATTTTGGGGTTAGTTATTTTAAAGGATAGCTTATTTCCTTAAGTCAACAATTTTTCAAGTATAGATGACTTTTGAGGTGGGTATATAAAAGGTATATATTTATATACAATATGTCACTTTTACAAGTGACATTTTTGCTTATTTGATACCATCTTTCAGTACCAAACAATTCTTAGATTTATTCTCCTATGTAGTTAGGATATTTCTCACACAAACAGAACTGATTAAAATACCAGATGAGGCTATTTAAAATCTTCTGTGATGATTTCCATGACAGTGTGTTGGAGTTTATGGCACAAATTTTCCGCATTTCATAATATACAATTAACGAAAGTAATCATCTTCAAACTTCAAAATGTATGCTGTCTTAACTAAGAGAATTTTAATATCAGATTTGGGCTTTACATATTCTATCTATTATCATGCTCTCATGACTATTTTAACGCACAATTTTAAATCAGAGAACAAATTTACTGGTAAGATAGATAAAAGGGAAATGTTAAATTTATAATAGCATAAATATCTAGCATAATTAGTTACTTCAACTGTTAAAATGATTTGTATAGACCTTTGTTGTCTTATGTAAACCTAGATATGATTTGAATTATGTAATTCACATAGCATAATTATAAAAATTCAATTTAAGAGCAGAAGCTAAGTTTTTAGAAGCATAGTAATGTGTTAAAGTATACCAGAATACATAAACACATCTTGAACATTTAGTGTTACTCTTAACATGCATTTTCTAAGTAAGTCAAAATTTTAAATTTGAGTAATCAAGTCTCAAAGTTTACAGTATTCATTTGCTTGGGAACTATATATGTAAAATTACTTTTTCTCTACTCAAACTTGTATTTCATTACAAGTGACTACTATAAATATTTATAATTTTAACTACTTTTCCAATGATTATGAATACATGCAGAATTTTATCCGGGGATTTTGGAGACTGATGAAGGCTAAGTGTAACTAAATTGAACTCAATGTCCAATTATACAGTGAAGAAATTCCCACTTATGCCAAAATAAAGACCTACCAAACAAAATGTTAAGTCCAAGTTTTCTGTTCCTGAATTTATAAAATAAGTTCAAAACTTATATATATTTTTTTCTAATTTTCTTTTTGGTCATGAGGCTTAAACTCTTGAGCCATAGCTACACTTCTGTATTCTTGTCGTTAATTAGAGATAGTCTCAGGGAACTTTTTAGCATGGGCTGGCTTTGAACCCAGATCCTCAGATCTCAGCCTCCTTAGTAGCTAGGATACAGGCATAAGCCACTGGTGTTGGCCAAAACATATATTTTAAAAAATAAACAAAACTTCGTTTTAAATTTGTGAATTTACCAAAAATAAGACTAGTGGTTTGGGTATAATTTTTGTTTTGTCCCAAGATTTAAGAGCTGGCTGGTCATAGAGTGCCTACCTAGTAAGTCTAAGACCCTAAATTCAAACTCAGTCACATTAAATAAGTAGATTAAAGAGACCTAAGACTAAAAAAATAACTTATACAATAACAACTACACTTGAAAAATTAACAGGCAAAAATGACTCAAATCTTTTTAACAATAAAAAGTCTTTCTTTTAAATCTGATACTTTAAAATGTTACAAATACTTAATCTACAGCATATAATGAGTAGTTTCTTCAGTTGTGCAAGCAAAATGACTGAGACATATATACAATGTAAGGAGGACAATTATCTTCAAAAATTCCATTAACACTTGACTACTCTTCTAGGCTCACGCCATCATTTTCATTCTCAATTCTAAAATGTATATTTTAGAAATGTATATTTCTAAAAAGAGAGGTAAAATTAAATAAGACAAGTAATAAAAATTATTGTGAGAACAATTACATGAAGGATGTCTATTTATTTAGTCATTGACTGATAATATTTAGATATACTGAAACTCAACTTGAAAAAATGAATATAATTATTATAAAAAGTTTATATTTTTTAGCATTGGGGATTAAACCTAGAGCCTTATGTATTCTAGGCAAGTACTATACAACAGAACTACTTTTCCAGTTCAACCATAAGTAGTAATTAAAGTCTTATATTTGTAACTAATTATTAAAATTAATTAAAAAATAATCTTCACCATACACATATCTTGTATAACTGCTTGACAATATAGAGGTTCTTTCATAGCAAAAGTATAGGTAATAGCATATATACATATCTACAGGTAGGTTGTATACTACCTGAATTCCCAATTTTTGAAGTCTATCCCATTTATTTGGACCTTCCATGAATATTAAGAAACACTGACATTACTATAACTATATATATATATATATATATATTATACATATTTAATATATGCATAATATACATGTATATATAGCCCATGCTTTCCTGCTTTTGAACTTTAGTTCACCGTTGGAATATCTGATCCACTTCAATCTCAACTTCGTAACATCCAAATTGTTTTAGTAATTTGAAATTACTAAATTGGAAAAAAGATCTTAACATGCCATCTGGAACTTTTTTTACTCTAACGTATTTTTTGTATTGTGTGCTTTATTGTTAAGTTTGTATATTATTTTAAGTGGATTCTCTATTCGACAGCATTTTCCCAAACCCATAGAATATATCATACCAAGAGAAAATCCTACTGCACATATGTAGAGAATATATTTATATTATATTTCATCTTAATTTAACTACAAGCAAATTGTTAAAACAGCTATTATGTATAATATCAACAATAAGCTTATAATACAAATTTATAAAAGCCATGAGTTATCCAGGATCATGCAAGTCAATTAGCTCTTAACCTGTGGTAGATATTTCAAAGTACTTATTTACACAATAACATAAGAAAATTGAATTTTAACAATTACTTACCTGAGGGATAACAATATCTGCTAACGCCTTCGAAAGCCTATATAATTCCATTGTATTTTCTAATTTCAGGGAACCATTATGCTGGACATCATATTTTATACAGTCATATATGTCAGGGATTTTACTGATATCATATCTTCCATTCTTTGTTTTAAAGTCTTTCTCCAACTTGGACCATCGACGTAGCATAAGCTCCAATGTTTCACTATGATAAAGCTGAATATCTACAACAAATTACATTTTTATTATATTTAGTTTAAAAATCTCAAGAATTTATATGGAAATGTTGACAATTTTATTTTGTTTTGTTTTTGGAACAAAATGTCACTATGTGGTTGAGTATGGTTTCAAACTTTTTTGCTGGTCATGGGGATTGAACTCTGGGCCTGGGCACTGTCCCTCAGCTCTTCAGCTCAAGGCCAGAACTCCACCACCTGAATCACAATACCACTTCAAGTTTTCTGGTGGTTTACTGGAGATGAGAGCCTTACAGACTTTACTGCCTGGGATGGCTTTGAACTGTGATCCTCAGATCTCAGTCTCCTGAGTAGCTAGGATTATAGGCGTGAGCACCAGCGCCCAGCTTCAAACTTATTTTTATAACCAAGACTGGCCTTGAATTTCCTATTCTCTGGTCTCAGGCTCCTGAGTGCTAGGATTACAGGCATATGCCACAATGTTTTGCCCCCACTAGAGTTAATTTGTTTGTGTGCTTGACCTGGGGCTTGAATTCAGAGCCAGGACACTGACCTCGAGCTTATTTTGCTCAAGGCTGGAACTCTACCACAGCTCCAGTTATGGTTTTTTTGGTGCTTAATTGGAGATAAGAGTCTCACAGACTTTCTTGCTCAGAATGGCTTTAAACTGCAAATCCTCAGATCTCAGCCTCCTGAGTAGGTAGGATTACAGGTGTGAGCTACAGACTCTGGTCTATTACTAGATTTTTAAGTGAAAAAATGTAAAACAATAAGATGCTATAGTTGTTATATAAAAATACAATATGGAACTATTAATATATATCAGATAATTTAGACAGATCATTTTATTTAAAAATTTGTTACACATTTTGATGAAGTATGGCCAAATAAGAAGTTTTTTTAAAAAACCCACAAAACGAATTCAAAAACAAACAAAAATTCCATTTGCTCCTTATGCGACTTGGCTGATGTAGAAAAGTATTGAGTATATTGTGAGACATTATTGGTTGCATTTAAACCACTGTATGATTTTTTGAATGTTTCTCTATGAAACATTCTTTAATGAAAATGATTCCTAAAACTCAAATAGTTCTTAAAACACAGGTAAAAGTTATGATAGTCTTCCCAAGGTGAAAAGGACATATAATGTGCTTAATTTAAGAATAATGTGAAAATTTTAGATTTGATGAAAAGCAGCATGTCCTTAGCAGAAGTGAGACAACACTAAGAAAAAAAGAAATCAAGTAACTACACTTTACTACGGAACTCTATATGTTTTGAACATAGTGGTTTTTCCTTAATGTAGTCTCCTTGGTATCATACAAGGATACCAAGAGACTATTATAATATATATATATATATGATTATACATATTTTTAATAACTGGAGGTGTAGCTCAGTGATAACAGCATGTGCTTTGCATATTTTTAAATATACAATATTACTATAGGCATATACCATTACCTATATTTTTTTAGACTTGGATAAGTACTAGATATAAATACCTGGATAAGGAACCGAGTTTACAAAAGGTTTTTTTAAAAATATATTATTAACTTTAAAGCAATAAAAAGAAAAAAATTACAATAAACTATAAAATTATATTTCAAGTCTAAACTCTAAATACTATTTTGCTAGACTAAAAATTAGCATAATTAGCAGAAAAGAATCTTTGAGATTAATAGCAATGACAAAAAATTTCAAGTTGTTAACTCTAGAAGCATAGTCACATCTTGTTTTCTCCCCTTTCTAATGCTGTTTTAGTATCAAGCCATGTTAAATAATTAAATAATCAAATGGGAATTTTCTACTTTTTTATGCAATCTCAGATAAAACACGTAAGTTAGTTATTTTTCCTTTCCTCAATATATATTAATTTATAGTATAACTATACTTACAGAGAGGCTCAATTTCTTAACATCAGAAGACTGGTAAAACTATTTAAAAATGTTTAAATAAACTGGACAGCAACTTTTATTTTATGCTCTAAGAAAAATATATTTACCTGATGATTTGGGGTCTTCCATTCGATGTCTAATTTGAGAAGTCAAGCTTTGGACTAAAGAATAAACTTTGTCACAGGTCTTCACAGGATTTTTAATTAAATGCATTGATTTGATAAGAGAAATGCTTCCAGAGGGAGTAAGCTGTAAATGAGTAAAGTATACATTTTACATTTAATTATGCCTAGTTATTTCAGAAAACCATATATGATTTTTCCAGTAGATGGAGAATTCCATCTAACATACAGTAAAATAAGATCCAAGGAGAAATCTTAATATTTCATGTTACAAAAATATTAAATATTAACTGTCATTAGCTTACCCACAGAGATACTCAGCAGAAGTACACTGCTTAAAAGATGAGATTTGAAGAGAATTGGCTGATTTACATAATAAATACATATAGGTTTAACATATATCAACATGTAATTATAATAAGCTTCTATTTTTCCAGATGAAGTCATTAACTGAGGCTATAACTTGCTTATGGTCAAATAAACATTATGTGAAAAAACCAACTCAAACACTGAATTCTGGCTACAGAGGAGGTACTCTTAATCACTATGTTAGTTACTATGTCTATTGTGTCCTTTTAAATGGAATAAACCATTAATGGTACAATAGTTCCAAATCCCAGTTTTGATACTGAGCTTGCAAGTTAATCACATGAAGTAAAATTTTAAAATATAAAATTTGTGAAGTAAAACTCTATTTCTAGTTATAGAGGACTAGGTAGTTTGAACCAACTTACAACTTATGTGTTTTTTATTTATAAAGAATTTTCTCACCAGGAGCCGGTGGCTCGCGCCTGTAATCCTAGCTACTCAGGAGGCTGAGATCTGAGGATTACGGTTCAAAGCCAGCTGGGACAGGAAAGGCCATGAGACTCTAATCTCCAATAAATCACTCAGAAAACTGGAAGTGGTGCTGTGGCTCAAGTGGTAGAGTGCTAGCGTTGAGCTGAAGAGCTGAAGGACAGTGCCCAGACCCAGAGTTCAAGCCCATGACCAACAAAAAAAACCCAGAAAAACAAAAAAAAAGAATTTTCTCTCCCTCCATTTTTATAACCATCAATTAGTTGTAAAAGAGGGTTTTATTTTGATGTGCCCATGTATGCATGAAACATACCTTCATCCAACTATCGCTCTCTATGCTGCTTCCCAAACCAACATCAACAATCTTAATTGTTCCACTTTTATATCTGTATATAAAGTATTTTAACTACCTCCCATTAGTACTAGTATTTCTCTACCTGGTGATTACATCTTTACTTGCTTTCCTTATGGTGCAATAAGCTCTCTGTTTGTGTGTATGTGCTTGTGTTTGTGTGTTGTGTGTGTTCTGGTCCTGGGACTTGAACTCAGGGCTTAGGTGCTATCCTTGAGCTTTTTCACTACTGCTCTTGCTCTACCATCTGAGCCACAGCTCCACTTCTGTCTTTTCTGGTGGTTAATTGGAGATAAGAGTCTCACAGACTTTCCTGCCTGGGCTGGCTTTGAACCATAATCCTCAGTTCTCAGCCTCTTGAGTAGCAAAGATTACAGGCATGAGCCACTGGGGTGCCTGTCTTCTATTTTCTTATGTCCTTTTCTCCATGAATTATTGCCTAATATAAATGAGTTTGCTAAGACCTACCTTTTCATAATCTTCAGCGGTAAAATCTCTGTCTTTCTGAAGAATTTCATGAAGTCTTGCTTTCACACGTTGCTGACAACTGCTCAGAGAATCACTATCACTGTCTAAGAGACCATTCATGTTTGCACTTTTCACCATCTGAACAAGAATGGGTGTAAGCTCTCCTTCTAGAGCCAATAACCCCTAAACACATGAAATAAAATCAACAATTTACACATCTGCAAAATAACGTAATATATAGTTAACAATACAGTAGTTCGTCATTGCTAATTGATGTCTTTAGTGGGAAGTTCAAAATTTGAAGTTTTTCATATTTTGCTAAGGCAAAAATGTTTAAAAATACTTGATGAAAATGCTAGTAATTTTAAAACTATTTTTTCATATACCTTTGCAAAAGCAGCTGCAGTCATCTGGACTCGTCCTTCATCAGAAGCATATATTTTGAGGTCATGTCGGTAGGTGCTATGTAATCGAAGTAAACCGCAACCAGGAAATCCTGCATAATCTCCTGGAAATAAATCCTCAAATCACTTAAGCTATATTTTTATTTCACTGTATTTCTACATGTGCTTAACAGTATCACAAAATAAACCAGGATTTGAAAATAAAATGTATGTTTTTCATTACATTCAAGAAATTTCAAGACTTACCTTGCCCTCCAGGATACATACACCTAAAAGCTCTTCCAAGTTCTTCAGCCTGGACCCTGCCGGCAGGGGTTAATTCTCCTCCCCATTTTAGAACCAAAAGTAAGGATGGTTGTTCTCTTCGACTATCTAAAATACATGAGCAAATAACACAAATGTTAAGTTCATTGACAAACATGTCAAATCTTTTTCACTGTGTTCTCTTCTGCAGTTAAATTTGGACCATGTATAAATTATTATATTTTCTAAATGTACCTACTTTGTGGGATATTGCTTCCATTAAAAATGACTTTTGCTGTACCTGTGAAAATATTACTTAATTTTAAAATCTCAAATGTGGAAAGGCTCCCAGTTTTTTCAGAGAATTATTTTTTCCCTTCTTAGTGATTTGGCCAGCATTCAAAAGAATCAACAATGCATAGAAAGTTTAACTAAATATAAAAACTTAGTAGACATTAAAATGACAAACCTTCCTCTTCACTAGATGTTTTAGGACAACCATGAGGGAGATATGTCAATTGGACCTTACGATTTATTCCAGAAAAATGGCCATACCTGAAAAATAAAATGGCAAGCCAAATGAATAGGATTCATAAAGTGTTGATGAATAATGTGAAGATTAGTATTAATATTAGTATTAAGGAACACTAAAATGGAGGAACAGAGAAATACTAATTCTATACTGCCTTTTTTTGTTACAGCCTTAGTAAACTTCAAATTTTCCTAGAAAATTTGTACCACAGCAGTCATTCTAACCTATTGAAAATAAAATGTAAAAAATTGTTTTGACAAAAGTTAGACAATTCTGAAGTAAAACAGAATGACACATACAAAAATATCAAAGTGTTTACCTTTAGTAAGAAAGAGCCTAAGATTATTACTGACATGTAAATTTTATTTCCAGAATTGATGGCTTAAAATATAGTTTGAAACATTTTTAAATTTAAACAGCACTGAATCTGGGGTTAATATTGCAATGTGAAATTCATTCTAAGTAGTATTTCATGGAATATCAAAATATGATGTTTCTTCTTTTAATCTTTCCATTAAAATGAAATTCATTGATATAAAAACCTATTTTATCACATTAGATTTTTATGTATTCCTTTTTAACTGTAATGATCAAGAAGAAAACAAAAATGTTTAAGCTGTAGAAAACTAATATGGAAAAAGAACTATAAGTAGTTATCAAAATTAAGACTTTCAAAAAAAAATACTCACATTTCTAAAACAGTCTTAAGTTGTTCAAGTTTTGGTTTATTTTCTTCAATTTCAGAATCATTATTCTGTCCCAGCTCCATTAGAAGTTGTCGTGCAATATCCAGCACTTCCTTTAAAATAAATTAACAAAAGATTTTAATTTTTATTTAAATTTACTGAAAACTTTAAAAGAATATAAAAGTAAACAGACTTGCCTGTAATTGTTTTGGCTTCTTGAGTTTTAACTTCCCTGATTTATATCCATTACACTTTTCAAAGAGATCAAAAAATCTTGTGAAAAATATAGAGCATTGTTAGTTATTTGTTATACATTTACATAGATAGATATAAAAATAAATGAATTCACATATATAAATCATATATTCAAAATTTTAATGTGGAAATAAACACAAAAATCTACAGATTTGTAATTATTGTGTTTTCACTTTCACTGTATCTTATTGAAACTTTACTATTTATATTACCTCAGAGACAGGGTGTTGCTGTGTTGCCTAGCTTGACCTCAAATTCTTGGGTTCACATAATCCACTCAAGTACAAATGCTCAGAAAAATAGCATCTCAATACACCAACCTTTTGCTTCTCTACTTTTCTGATAAAACTCAGAACCTTCCTCAACTACATTAATAGGTATAATATTTAAAATTTTTTCTCAAGATGAAAACTGAACAGAAATTAAACAAAAATATATTCTCTGAAGTCAGTGCATAGTTTAGAATTCACTATTTTTCTTCCAAAAGGTTAAGAGGTTAATAGTTTTCAGAATGCAATGCAAGAGAATGTAACTCCCTTTATAAAAGACTAAGATTTAGTGATTCAGCCACAATAATATCAGGAATTAGCATCTATATTTTCTTTAAATAAATTTGTATGAATTTAGTGGTTTATCTATCATGGTCAAGAAATACTAGCATTTTTTCCATATGAAATACTTATCAAAAAAGCTTAACATATCAAAACATTAAATCTGATTATGAGCATTAACTTATTTTTTTGAACCATACTTTTGATGCCTCACTTCCATTTTCATTTTTTGCTTTGGTGTTCGATCCCCATGACGAATGACAGCTATGACACATCTAAGTTCCATCCTAAAATGAAAGAAAAGTATGCTCTTAATTTTCTTACAAAGATATGTACTCTATAATTCTAGTGTCCAATCAATTACTGAAGACAATCATTTACCATTTTAAGATCTTTCCCATAAAAAACAGTATTTATAATAATCCAGTCTCATTTTATGAGATCAAATCCTGAAAAGGATTTAAGCAGCCAGAGGAAGGGGAAGATATTAAGATATATAATATAATACTTTCTCTTCCTAGAGATGACAGTGTTAACCCTGGGATAAAAGAGAATATACTCTGATCGTTGAACTCTATTAAATATTCATATTGTTCCATTAAGAGTATTATAGGCTGAAATTTCATTAAATCAAACCAAACAGCTTTACTCGATGGTTGTTATATATTTGCTCTATTTTTCTCATGTGAAGAGTAAGTACTTAAATAATTCAAATTACTGGAAGGTAAGTGTTTTAGAAGCATGCAAAGGTTAAGAAATATAATGTAGCATTTGACAAAGGGTAAAACCACTGTATACAATCCTTAGGGATTATTACAATTATGTAAAAGAAATAACATGAAATATATTTGGAAAAAGCTGGCTTGAATAAACTTCCCAATCAGTACTTACAAGAATGTTTAACATGATACTATACATCTCTAAGCAGTGAATATGTAGCATTCATTCAACACATCTGACTTGTCAAAGAGCTTAACAGTGTTATGAAACACTGATAATATTGGTTTAATTAACTTACTTCAAGATGTAACTTGAGAGCCAAAGTTATAAGACTACTAGGAACCTTTGTACTGATTGTTATCTATACTGTTATATGGCTGATTCGGTGGTTCTATGAATAGTTAATTAATCACGTTTTAAGATTTTACTTAAAATATTATATGACTTTCAGCTTCCTGGACCCTGGTAAAAGCACATAATTTCTTTCTCCATCATCAAACTAAATTATATGAAAACATAAATAATAAACTGTCTAATAATCATTCCAAATTTTATTTTTTATTACAATAACACAGACTAATTAAATCTTAAGGAAGTTCTGAATAAGAATAGTTCAAACTTACATAGTTCCAGATGTAGTTGGGACAATTGGAATGTCTTCAGCTTCTAAGGGTATTGACCAAGGAATATGAAATTGTGGAGCAAGCTCTCTCATTACAATATTCCTTTAAAACCGAAGAAATATATTACTAAGTAGTAAAAATAGCACAAATTTGGGATTTGTTTACTTCAGTTTTGAAATAGAAATCAATACCATGTTTAAATAAATCATGATGATTATATAGTTTGTAATTAGCTATATCCTCAAATCCAAGATTGTCTTTAGCACTATGGTGCTAAGGACTGAATGAGGCTTGTGAATGCTGAATACTCTACCATTGAGCCACATCATACCTTCTATAAAACTATTTTAGGTACCATATTTATTTTTAATAAATTACTACTATACTGTACTAATATAGGCATAACAATGAAGGGATTTTCAAGTAACTACATCTTCTGATTGTGTTCAAATATAGCATTTACTAATAGTAAAATTCTCCCCTCAATTTATTTTAAGGATAAGTTCACAAACTGGAAATATTCTATAAAAGGTGACTATTAAAGTGCTCATTTTCCTACTATTCTGTCACATTCACATACCTTTGAAATGTATTTAAAATGTTCCTGAATCAAGATATAAAGAAAACAGACCTATTGTCTTTGACCAAAAATATAAAATAATAATTCCTTTTACATTAACTTGATGTTATAATAATATCTTCAAGTAAATATGTATCTAGGAAGAATTATCATCCAAAACAATCCTGAATTCTATTTTACTTAGGTTACTTATTTCACAAATGTTAGTTTAGTACCAGTAAATAGGACAATGAAACATTTCATTTATAATTATATAGGAAAAACTGATGAAAGTTTTGACTAAAAATCACCATGTTATAGCATTTTAAATCTGAATTTAAAACTTTATTTAGGCGTTCATCTATAGTGATCATATCATATCTAGCCTTGATAATCTGAAGTTTAATTCGGGATCTGACTGTCTTTGGAAGTCTCATTTTTATGAACACTGATAGTTACTCAAGAAAAGTTAAAAATTAGTGTTTTAATGAAATGTAAAAAGAAAAAGGAATGTAATAAATTCTTACCCAAGTATTTTTGCACAATCATCATAATACTTCATGGAATTTTTCACAAAACTGAATCCATTGACATCACAGACATAGGACTGTCCATTGGCCCGTAACAAATCAAAGCCACAAACTGTTTGCTATTTAAAATAAGTTATAAACTTTAAGGTTTCATTTAAATTATTATGATTCACCCTCCTAGTCTTATTGGACTATATCATATTTTATAACTGCCTAAAAACAGTATTTTTCAATCAACTTCAGATAGCAAAAAGTTACGTATTTGTAGTTTGCATAAACCAAGGTACATTGTGAATTCCATATAACTATCTAAGTTTCTTATCATGAAGTTAATATAGAAGAAGGGACTAGAGAGTAAAAAGAAAAAAAAAGTAGCTGAAGTTCTGTAGTTAAGTTATTTTAAACCTTGATAACCACATATTTGTGAGGACCTGAAATAAATGTGTTTTAATTGAAAGATAAAATACACTGAGAGGTATACAGTTCCTGCTCAGGTTGTAAGAACATTCTTATCTTTCATATTTTATCCTCATATCATCACATATTGGTATAATGTGATTTTGAGCTTTTAGAATCTGAATTTTTAAAAAGTTACAGAAATCTATTAAAATGTATTTACAGACTAGCATTTCTTCCATAAAGGAGACTTCAAATTATTATTAACCTGTAAAATGTTTTTAAAGTTTAATGACCAGTAATATGTATTAATTAAAAAGTTATTTTGTGCCTGTTCTGGGGATTGAACTTAAGGTATAGGTGCTGTCCCTGAGCTTTTTTATTTAATGCTTTACCAGTTGAGCCTCAAGCTCTACTTCCAGCTTTTTGGGATTAACTGAGTAAGTCTCATGGTCTTTCCTGCCTGGGCTGGCTTCAAATCAAGTTCCTCAGATCTCATTCTCCTAAATAGCTAGAATTATGGGCATTAGCCACCAGTGCTTGGCTTGCTATAATATAAACTTAAAAGAGCAAAATTTATCTGTCATTTAATGCAAATTGCAGTACTTCTACTTAATTATTAGTATTATGATAAAAAGTTAGTAATAAAGACTAATTGAGATAGTCAAATATTACAATTTAAAAGTTTTCCTTAAAAGTAAATTACACTGCTTTCATATTTTATAATATTTTAAACATTTTTTATCACATATCAGGTCAATGGATTGCTTATTAAAATATTTTAAATCATTCTATGAAAGCAATACAATCAGTTTCTTACAGTAAGTTAGGCAGTCTTAAATATTGGTTCACTGAATTATTCTGTAATTGTACTTTCTGAATAGATTTAAATATGTTCATTTTCTATTTTATACAGAATAATAAAGTAATACAAAAATATATATCCACACTAATAGAACCACTTGAAAAGTATATGAATAGTTCAGAAGTGTGAATTGCTTTCTCAGCTTGTTTATCTAATTATATAAGTCCAAATAATGTATCTTACTCAAAAAAGAAGATTCAAATTCTAGTACAAGGGCCCCTATGGCTTATACAACATCTTACCTTAAAAGCAAGGCAGACTTTCCAAGCGATTAGTTTCTCTCGTGCATTGAGAATCACAGGGTATCGTACTTCCTTTCCCTCACTATCTCGTTCTACCTTGCCATCAAGCGCTGGAGATTTTCGAGCTTCAGCATGAGCATAATCTGGACCCACTGTATAAACCTTTCATAAATGTTAAATATATATAGTATACATTACTGGTTAAATACATAATCAGCAAGCAATACATTCAAAAGAAATCAATAAAAGGTAGTATAATCTGGGTATATAGTTTTATTTTACAAAGCAAAAGTTTCAATGCATTGGAAAAGGTTATATTATAAAAGGTAAAGTGAGGCTTCATCCTAAAATTGTTTACATTTAACAAAGGAAAAGAAAAATAACTTGTGTCTTACAATTTTTACCTAAGCAGGGCTTACAGCACAATTCTGCCACTTGGACAACTAAGATTACAAATCTTCCTGACTAAATTAACATTTCGTTAAGGTCTCACTAACTTTTTGCCCAGGATAGCTGTAAATGAAACCATCCTAAACTTTGCTTTCTAAAATGCCAGGTAAGGCATTCTAAGCAAAGGTAATGAGTACAAAGGACAGAGGTATAAAATAACATGATATATTCATGTGCGGAAACGTTATTTATTGTATATCACACTGTAAAATCAGATTTGTAAGGCAGAAGACTTAATTATCTTGTATGCTACTCTTATGTCTTTTTTTTTTTTTCTGTCAGTTGTGGGGCTTGAACTCTGGGCCTGGGGGCTGTTCCTCAGCTCTTCAGCTAAAGGGTAGCATTCTATCACTTGAGCCACAGTGTCACTTTCAGTTTTCTGGTGGTTTATTGGAAATAAGATTCTCATGGACTTTCCGGTCCCAGCTGGCTTTGAACAGCGATCTTCAGATCTCAGCCTCCTGAGCTATGATTACAGATGTGAGCCACCGGTACCCAGCACTTATAACTGTTGATATTCTCCTGTAGTTGGTGGGATTCATCAGATGATTTTATAAGGATAGGTTTCTGATGGCATTTATACATTTGAAACAGTCTGATGAGAGAAATATTGACTGACAGTAGAGCTATTAAACTCTTATCACTAACTCAAATCACGAGCAATATTTTATATTTCATTACGTTGTCACAGATTTCAAAGTATTATTTACGTTAGTCATTGTCTGGAAATTAATAACTACTAGAATCCTTATCCCTAATATTTAATTATTAATGACACTTTAATGAATTACATATAAATTGCTATATTAAAAGTTTCGTTTAAAATGTTTTAATAGCTATATTCTAATAAAATCATTTTAGTTGCAATTCTGGGTGTTTTACCATATAAGAACACTATTCTTAAAAAAGAATCCATCAACTTCCAACTGCCAAAGCTGTCCCTGGATCAAAAAATCAGGTTAAAATCCTTAAGTGCACAAGAGACACAGAACAGAAATGTGATATGGCTAAATGGTTATCCTTTATTGGCAAACTCAAAATTCAAAATTAAAATCTACATGGTATCCATGTTAGATGGCTTGAGTTATGAACTTTTCACTTGACTTGCAATGCATTCAGTTGAAGTCATAACTTAAATTTTGAGTTTTAATTTTTCCATGAGCCCGTGACAGATGGTAAGATTCTCACGCCAGTCACTGGTACAGCAGCAACACGATAATGGGCTTTTGTAAAATATTCACTATCTATAGTATACCATGCTAGTAGCTATACTTTTCAGGTTAGGTTTATTAAATGCATTTTCATGTTACAGTATTCTTTTCATTTTCTTTCTTTTCCCCTCTCTTCCTCTTCCCCTCCCTACCGATTTACTAAGTATTTTTTACTTAGAAAGTTTATCAAGACATAATGTCATCCACCGGCCAAGGATCAACAATACCTGAATTCACTACATCTTAACATCATCCCACCTTAAGTACAGAATTTTAAAATACACTGTTATCGATCCTACCTTAACATCTGTACCATCTGTAGGCATAAACTCTTCATATATATATGAGCCAGTTTTTCGTACATTGCTTTCTGGAGAATATACACTACTTCTACTGCCGATCTAGAAATAAAAGATGCCCATCAATATAAAATTAATTTTAAATTATTTTAATAATATAATGACTGTTTACATCTTATAGTTTTAAACCTTTTAAAATATATGAATATTCAACAATGCTTACTATGTCTTGGACACCATATTCTTCCCTGCAGTATCTGTAATTTATAGGTAAGTTAAAAAGCATAAAAATTTGAGTAACACTTAAGAATTGTTTCTAGAATTCCTTTATGTTGTCACATGTAACTCAGCTATGCTCAATTTTACTAAAACTGCCACTGTATAACTAAGTCAGAATGTATCCATTTACCTATTCATGAATATTTAGATTGTTTTCTAATCTTTGAGTATTACAACAATGTTGCTTTAAACATTCTTATAAGTGTTACCATGTGGCATATGTGCAAATGTGTCTATAAGGAATTCTTTTTTTTTTTGGTCGGTCATGGGGCTTAAACTCTGGGCCTGGGCGCTGTCCCTCGGCTCTTCAGCTCAAGGCTAGTGCTCTACCACCTGAGCACACAGCGCCACTTCCAGCTCTATAAGGAATTCTTAATGGGCTCATTTAAAAATTACACATATATTGGAGAAGTTTTTAAGAAAATGCTTTAACAATTTAGTTTCTCTGGCAATACATAATGGACTTATGGCTGTTCTACATTGCCTGTACTTGCTAGAATGTAGTATTTGACACTATAGTAAAAATAGTATTTCATTGTGTGTGTGTGTGTGTGCGTGTTTTGTTTTGTTTTTTGTCGGTCATGGGGCTTGAACTCTGGGCCTGGGCGCTGTCCCTCAGCTCTTCAGCTTAAGGCTAGGATTCTACCACTTGAGCCACAGCGCCACTTCCGGTTTTCTAGTGATTTTATTGGAAATAAGAATCTCACGGACTTTCCTGCCCGGGCTGGCTTTGAACCGTGATCCCCAGATCTCAGCCTCCTGAGTAGCTGGGATTACAGGCATGAGCCACGAAGGCCTGGCTCTTTCATTGTGTTCCTAATTTGCATTTCAGATTATTTGCAAATTTACTTTTAATTCTGATATTCTGCTAAACTATGTTACTAAAAGACTCTATTTTTGACAATGATATTTGGCCTAAAGCTTCTCAACTACCTCATTAAAAAAAATCTCTGTAAATCTATAAAGCATTAAAATATAGTATTTCAGATGATGTGTGCAACTACTTATTATGGATGCAATTAAGCATATAAAAGTTATTAGTACAATTTTTGTGTGTGCCAGTCCTGGGGCTTGAACTCAGTGCCTGGTCCCTGTCCCCAAAGCTTCTATACTCAAGGCCAGCATTTTCCCACCGAGCTACAACTCCACTTAAGGAGGCTTTTTTTTTTTTTGGGTAGGTAATTGGAGATAAAAATCTCTAAGACTTTTCTGCCCAGACTGGCTTCGAACCACAATATTCAGATCTCAACCACGATACTCTGATCTCAGACTCCTGTGTAACTAGGATATAGGAATGAGCCACCAGTGCCTGAGGTTCAGTAGCACTTTTTTATAAACTATTTTTGTGGACCATATTTCAAAAACACTGTGTATTTTGAACTGAATTTTTAGTCTGACAGAAACACAAACAGGAGGTAGAGAAAAAAACCAAGGAACTCTCTTGGGATTTAAAGGAAGGAATTTTCCTACAAACTATTAAATAGCTACAATGATGCTTTGTTTTTTGAACAGAATATAATTATCATTTTGGGGAATTTGTCTCCAAATGATGTATTTCTGAGAGTTTAATATGTAACTATAAGTAAATGCTTACTTAGTGTCAATATAATTTCTATAAAAATGAAGAATATTATTCATACAAAGGTTACAAAAGTTTACCTTCCTAAAGAGTCTTTGACTTCCACCTCCAGCAGATGTGGGATAATAAATGTAAACATTGTGATCTTCTGCACTGACTGGCTTTTCTACAAATGGCTTTTGGAAAACTTCCCCATTTACTTCTACATGATCTTCCCCTTCAATCAGATTGCATTCTATAAGACAAATTCAAAAGCAAGAAAAAAAAACACGTTGTGTTATAACATCTAAATAGCATTTTTTAAAAAAAGAAACAAAAAGCAATAAAATTTATTGTTCTAACTTCCAACAAAGCTGTTTGAGCCCTACCAACAAAAGTGAATTTAGCTCAGTGGTAGAGTGCTGGCCTGGCATTTATAAAGTCCCAGGTTCAATGCCCAGCACAGAAAGAAAAATAAAGAAAAATTGAATTTCTCTTATTTTAATGACTGCATGCTATAATCATTCATCCCAAGCAGCTTTGGAAAAACTACATATATAAAATCTTAGTGAGTAGGGTCTAACATAAACATTTTTAAAAACCTCCTCTTGTGTACTTGATTTGTAGTCATGGCTAAAATCTTTGATATCCATTAAAGACTTTACAGCACTACTTGAAAATAAATTCTAATTTTAAAAGATGAATAGTTCATGTTTGTTTTTAAGTTTAATTTAGTTTTCAATGTAGATATCGTATTGTGTGGGACACAACAGCTCACTCATTTCTGTAATCCCAGTTATATTGGAGGTAGAGATTTGGAAGATTATAGTTTAAGACCAGGCCAGGGAAACTGTGAGACCCCAATAAAAAGTTTGGTATGGTGCTTTGCATAAATAAGATTTGTAAACCAAGCAGCCCAGTACATACAAGAGACCCTGTTTAAAAATAAGGAGAAATAACCTTTATTAAAAATATAAAAGCAAGGGCTGGGAAGGTGGCTCAGTGATAGAGCACCTGCCTTGCATGCCTGAGGCCCTGGCGGGTTCGATTCCTCAGCACCACATAAGCAAAAAGGAAAAAAAAGCCGGAAGTGGCGCTATGGCTCAGTGGTAGAGTGCTAGCCTTGAGCTGAAGAGCTGAGGGACAACGCCCAGGCCCAGAGTTCAGGCCCCACAACTGGACCCAAAAAATAAAAAAATAAAAAATAAAAGCAAGGGGCTGGCAGAAGGGGTGTGGTTCAAGAGGGAAGCAGCTAACCTAGCAAGCACAGGGCTAGCACCTACCTAGCAAGCACAATCTTCAATATGACCAAACTTCAATATCACCAAAAAAAGAATGAAAAAATTTTTCACTGAATATTGGAGAATTTCTGACTTACTTTTTTCCTTCTGTTTCCCTCCCTCTTTCTTATCTCCTTTCCTCCCTCTCTTCCTTCCTTCTCACACTCTCTCTTTTTTTTTTTTCTTTTCTGCAGGTCCTGGGGTTTGAACTCAGGGCCCAGGAAGTGGCTCTGAGCTTTTGTGCACAAGGCTATACTTAATCACTTGAGAGACTATTTCCACTTCAGATTTTTATAGTAGTTATTTGGAGATAAAAGTCTCATGGACTTCTTTGTCCAGGCTGGCTTTAAATTACAATCCTCAGATCTCAGCCTCCCAAGTAGCTAAGATTACAGGTGCAAGCCAAGCCTTCAGTGCCTGGAAAGACTTTTTTTCTTTTTAACTAGGAGAAAATTATGGAGAAAAGTAAACCTGGATAATGTAGGTAGGTAGTTTTATAAAACAACACATGCCAACATTTATGGCAAAAATGGCACAAAAATTATAATTGTTCCTCAGAATATTATGAACTTGTCATTTCATAGAATCCTGGCATAAAATTCAAAGTCAGATATAAAATCATGCCATTAAAAGAAACTGACAATTGACTGTAGAATGACTATTTCTAGAAATGCAGATAGAAATGCAGAAATGCCTATCTGCATTTAAATCCCAATTATTATATAACATGAAATCATTTAAGTCTGAAAAGTAACTCATACACAAGAGTGATCAATCCAAATAGGAAATTAATTTTTCACCTGTATACAAATGAGAAGTTTCTTAGATTAGATATTATATATAATTCGCAAAAGAAGGTGCTTTTTATGTCTAATAAGTTATTAAATTTCCTAAAATGCCATTACCATAACATTGATCTCTTTTTCTCCTTGGCAGTACTAGGGTTTGAAAATAAGGACTGAAGGCTTGAAGGCAGGCACAATGTCCAGCCACAATTCCAATCTCTTTTCATGTTTTTGCCTGTGCCAACTTAGGCCATGATCCTCCTACTTATGCTTCTCATATTACTGGGATGACAAACATGTACCACCTCACTCAGCTTTCTATTGGCTGAAAGGAGTCTCTCCTAGAACGTCTGGTTCAGAATATTAACTCCTTAGTCAAACACTTTGCTCTTTAGTGTAAGTTATACTGACGAGCTAAAACATGCTAAAGGTAACTAGAAAGAAAGAATAACAGATGCTTTAAAATGATTTCAAAATTCCTATCCTTAGATGTTTAATCATGACATCATTATTATATAGTTTCTAAGTCATAGATGAACCACTTATTTTTCCCTAAACAAATTTATAAGCATGTAATTTCAAAATTTTTTTTGATTTTTAGAAACACAGACTATAGAAAAGTAGTGCATTTAACTCCTAAATTATTAGTGCGCCTTGCAACTCACAGTGCTACTTTTTGTTTGGTTTTTGAAACAGAATCACACTGTGTAACCTAGCCTGGCCTACAACTCACTATTTAGGCAAGGCTGTCCTCAACTTCCCAATCTTCAAATTCCTTCTGAGTGCTGTAATTACAAGATGTGCCACATACTAGGCTGTGTCACACTGTAAATGAATATAACACTTATTTGTTTAGATTATTAAAAAAAAAAAGCTTATTAAATGGAGTACTACAAATTCCACCTGGTTAATGTAAGAAGCAAACATGTCAGGAGCAAACATTATATTGTTTAAAATCTCTTCACTTACTCCTACCTTTGGGATTATTTGGATCACGGTTCAATATTGCATAACGAGGAAGTAAAATACCTTCAGCTTGAAGAATACTATATACTTCTCTCCTGAAGGAAAAAAAAAAAATCCTACTTTACTGCTCTAGTTCACAATTAATATATTAATGTATTATTATGCAACTATGATCTTACTGTGTTTTTTAACTAAAAAGAATATATCATCAATCTTTTTAAATTTTCAAATAAATATATCATTTTAAAGATTGAAAACAATTCTATAAAAAGACTTATTGTAAGCCAGGCACTGGTGGTTCATGCCTGTAATCCTAGCTACTCAGGGGGCGGAGATCTGAGGATTATGGTTTGAAACCAGCCTGGGCCAGAAAGTCTGTGAGACACTTATCCCCAATTAACTACTCAAAAATGCCAGAAATGGAGCTGTGGCTCAAGCCTGAGCAAAGGAAGCGCAGAGACAGCACCCAGGCTCTGAGTTCAAGTCCCAAGACCAGCAAAGAAAAAAAAAAAAAAGACTTATTGTAGTTGTATAAACTGCTTTGTTATATGACAACTCCTTTGTATAACTACTGAAAGATGATTTTTAAAATGAGAAAAAATATTCAGCAAAATTTGTATATAATGCTTTTCTGAAACCTAAGAAACAAAAATGAAAATATATATAAAGAAATCGTAAAAGGTGACAAACTGCAATTACAGATTAGAACCTAACTACTAAAAACCTTAGGTTAATATAATAGTTAATGACATGAGGAAATGTTCATAGTATGTCAATGTTCACATCTGAAAAATGAGAGTAGGGATGTATTGATTCCTATATGAAAAATACAATATATATGGTAACAGAATTGGATTGCTTTCCTTATGCTTGTACTGAAGCATTTTTAATATGCATATATAATACATGCAAGTGCACATTACTATATAATTCAAAGGAAAAGTGTTTTTCAATTTTAATATTAATAATGTTACTGAGTAAAAAAAATTACAGGTGTACTTGAAGATAAGTAGTGTCATATTATAATAGCTAATGCAGATGAAATTACCAGTAACTACCAAGTGAAACACCAATGATATGAAATAGATGAATGTACACACATTTTACATTATCAACTGGAAAATTATGCTTTTGGCTTACTCAATGAATGCTAAAATTTACAATGAAATGGGTTACTCCAACTATCATTTCCTTAAAAAAAAAATGTTCCTTATTTTAATCTTGCTACACTAAATTAGTTCTAACTAAAACTTAAAAAATCATAAAATAAATAAAAATATTTAGTTATAAAACTTAGGGCATGCCTCACGAAACAGAACTCCTGTCTACCATCTGTAAGGCCAAGTTCAAAGACTAATACCCCTAAAACAAACAGATAAACAAAAACAAAAATCTAACTAAATAATTTCATTAGCAGTCACATGATATAAAGATTGTTTCATTTTCCATGATTTGGTTGGATTTGGAAATTAAATGTCTGTTAAGCACTTAAATAAAACAATTTATCTGATTCTCAAGTTCCCTCATCTATGAATTTAGTTAACAAATACCTATTTCTGAGTACTTTTTAAGTATGCAATGAATTAACACACTATATGTGGAAACACCTGATGCCACATCATTCTATAGTAGGCACTAAATAAATGTTAATTTTCCTTTCCTTAATTCAGCCAACTTCACCACTCACCTATCTTGTATGAGATACTGCATATTCAAGTCATTGATTACAAATGGATTCCTGAGTTTTGCATAGGCAACTGCTTTGTCCAGTGGAAATCCTAAGAACACATATTATTAACATATTCTGTACAATCTCAAAGTAAGTTGACATCTAAACACTTAACTTGATGCTACCTTTCATAAAAGAATAATTTCATCATGTACATTTCTACCTTCAATAAAAGGTATGAAATAATATAGACTTTGAACTTATACTATTAAATCTCACTTTTCCTAGTTAGGTTATTAATAAAGCATACCAAGTCAGTGGTTATATTACCAAATTATGGCATTGACATCTTAGTCAATGTCTGACTATTCAAGTCATTTGTTGAATGTAAAATTACCACACCTATAAAGAGAAAGCTAGACATAAATAACAGTAGTGTATCAAAACCACTTGGGTGATTTTTAAAACAATTCCTTATCACTTGAAATTTTGATGTTTAGGCATACAAAGCAGCTAATACTCAAAAAATTCATCTACATTTTAAAACCGAAGCAGAAGCAAAAATGAATTAATACAACGTATATAATAGAAATGTGTGAGCAGCATGCCATGCTAGGACCAATATTAAGATTTTGAAAATCAATTTACAAAAATTCTAGATTTTAGTAAAATTACCAATTACAATGAAAATGAATAAAATATAGTAAGAAGCCTAAAATAACTTTAATAGTTAGGTTTTACTCCCTATACTGACTAATTTTATCCATAATATATATTACTAAAGGGAGGTATACCACAGCAGTTAAAAGCATGAGTGTTCAAATCCTGCTTGCATCTTTTACTAGCAATGAAACCTTGTGCAAATATATCTGTCCTCTCTAAACCTATATTCTCAGCTCTAAATGACCATTATATCAGTCTTATCTAGTAGGATTGGTAAGAAATCAAATAACAAAGTACATATTAAACACAGCATAGTATAGCTGGCAAATTAAGTGCTAAAAATGAAATGTTGTTACTTTTTAAAATGACAATATTTTAATAATTACCTATCCTATCAATAGAAATGATAGAATATCAGCAAGCATGCCAGGTGCTAGAGGTTCACCCGTGTAAGCCTAGCTACTCAGAAGACTGAGAGCTGGAGGATCATAATTTGAGAACAAATAGAACAGTCTGTGACATTCCCTGTCCAACTGACCAACAAAATGTCAGATTGGAGGCATGGTTCCAGGGCTGGAAGGTCAGACAAGAGCAAGTTAGCTGAGCAAGAGCATGAGGCTGAGTTCAAAAACCACAATAAGCATAGGAAAAAAAAATAAGTGAGCACACACCACTTTACTATTTAACTACTGAACATTAAGTCTGTGAAGATATTGTATTTCTGCAATGAAAGAAAAGTGAACAGAATATTAAAATATACTAAAGCTATACTAAAATAAAAAGGTATGTTCTGTTAAACATGACTTATTCATACTTATCCTGAGGGTAATTCCTAATTGCCTATTTAAAAATTAAATACAGATACCATATACCAGAATCAGTTTCAAGTCTTTAGATTCAGAATTCATCGCTTGTAAAGATGTCTCAATATTTCTGACTTGAAACCTCATACTAGAATTCAGCAAATAGAAAACACCTATAATCAGCTCGCTGCTTTTGTTGTTAAAAAGGATAACTTTTTTCTTACCAAGAAACAGTAGGTGGGCCATGTCCTCAGACACAGCACCTAGGTTTTAGAGGTAAATAACTATCATAGGAAATATCATGTGATGATACAAGGAAAAACACATCCCCAGGGATTAATAAATTTTGAAGTTTCTTGAAATAAGGAACCTCTATCAGCAACAACAGAGCTATGCATCTCTAAGAATAATGAAAATCAACTTACTAGAGGTGAATGCAAAGTCTCCAAACTTTCCCACATGCTGAAGTATAAGTACAACTTTAACCTAGTTCAGTACTGCTTATTTTGCAAGTAGTAATGATGAAAGGTGACATGATCAAGATGTACTCATGAACTGACATGATGAATTAAAACCTCTTTGGTTCAATTACTTAATAAGATAACATTAAAAAATGTTCAAAAAATAAAAATGAATATATTTCATATTGAGTACATCTTTTAAATTACTGCTTACTGGGAAATTCATTCACCACATTTATTATACATTCTGATATATATTTAGCAATAATTTTGATTATAGGATTTTAATATAAAGCAATGTTTAAACTTAAATGGTATTTTTTAATTTAAAAAACAGTATGTAAGACCTAAAGAAAGAATGATTGCTTTCAATATGATACTAATGTAGGGCTTGACATATTTGTTGATTCAAATAAAGATATATTTGAAGAACTGATCACACTCTAATTTTTAACAATGAAAACTGGAAACTATTCTAAGCATTTGGATATTAAAAATGTTATAGTATATCTAAATGATTATTATGCCATATAAAACTCAAATTAATTGAAGAGTGATGTAGAAGGAAAAAATCCTCTTGATGTAACAATGAAAAAAATATATACCACACTAAATTTAAAAAAAAATACACAGGAAAAAGAAAGAATGCAAAGAAGTATGTCAAAATGTTGATATCACTTTCCTATGAGTTAGAACAATTTTAATTTTCAGCCTTATTCAATACTCTATAATATGCATTATATTTATACTCAGAATAAAGGGTTTCCTGTTTTAATACCTTTAGAGTGAAAAGAAATAAGACAATCACATAGAGGCCAATTTTCCACTGGTTCATTCAAAATAACTTCTTCTTCAAATACTACTACTGTGATATATTTAAATAAGGAGATCCGTTCCAGAATTTCCTTCATTGGTTTGGATTTGGATTTCTTTGCCATGGAACATATTCCAACCACAATCTGCCTTTCTGGTGGCTAAAAGATAAAAACAACAACCGCAAATCAGGTGACTTAACATGAACTCTGAAACATAACTACCTTCTTTTTAGGAGGTGATGCCTTCAATATATTTAAAGTGACATTACCCAACAAAGACACTAAAGTATAGCATTGTTATAATAAATACATTTTGAATAGCTTTGTACAAAGGTATGGAAATAAAATTTTAAAATAAAAACTTTCATCACATTTCAACTCTGTTTAATCAAAAACATAAATTCCCCTTTTTCAAATGTTTGTAGCGTTTATTTTCTCTTCTCACAGAAGAAAAGGAAAAATAAGGGCTCAAACCCATCCAATTCAAGTAAATCTACCAATGGAAATTATTAAAGAATTTTGTTGCCTAAAATAAAATGTATTTCCAACTAGAGAGTTACATAACTCTCTAAGAACTATTTTTATAAATCTATCTTCAACATTAGCTGGCCATCAGTGACAACATGGAAAGAAATTTTAGAGAAAGCCACTCAGTCAACAGAGATTGCCAATCCCTGACATTCCAGTCTTTATATTCAATATTCCTACTTCATGATATTACTAATCTCAGCAGTATTAGACTAAATCATGGCTTAAAAGGGTAGATTATATAAATAATAATTTAATGAGTAGCTCAGAGACTCAAAAAATTACTCAAGATTCACTCTTCAATTTTTGCATGACTCTTGGGTCTACCACAGTTACACTGCCTATTCCAAAGGGACAGTGCCCAGGCCCAGAGTTCAGGCCCCACAACCGGACCCAAAAAAAAAAAAAACAAACAAAAAACAAAGAGTCCAAATCAAACACTGGACTTCATTATCTATTACACAGGTTATAAACTGTAACCTTTGGATCTGCTATCTTCATCTCTTTTGAGTATCAATTTTTATGTTCTCTTACTCTCTTATTTCCTGTATAAAAAAACCTATATTTGATTTTCCTATAGGTCTTCATACTGTTCAGAACTCCAAAGAAAAAGAGTAAGACTAGTAGAGACTGAGTCAGTAGTGCTTTCAAGCTTAAGTAAATCAAAGAAGATGAAGAGAAATTTGGGTGGTAAGGATAAGATTTGAAGTTTATTATTTTTTCATAGGTAGTGGGTAGGGATGTGCTCTGAACTGAAGGTTTTAAAAGACTATTTTGAGTTAATTTATATATTATTTAAGTTTGTGTTTGTATTTGATATGTATATAACTTCATTGTGAATGAAGATGATATTATGGAAAACCATTTAAGGAGTTATCTAATAATTAGTTTTGTTTTAGCTTTACTTTTCCCAACTATGACAGGTTTACCTTTTAAATTTTTGTTACAATTTGAAATATAAGAAAGATAAACATGTATTAAGTCTGTATTTTAAATCAGTTCTCAGAATGAAATAATATTGGCTTATATAAAAAAATTGGGTAATGAATACTAGATACAACCAGATATAACTAGCTTTAGAGAATAGGTTGATAACTATCTATCTACAATCTATCTATCTCTAGTTATATAAATATATATAGTCATATGTCTATATCAATATAACTGATATAACTAGAAAAATTAACATTCCAGATATGTCATTCCTAAGACACAGTACAGATTGTTTTCCCAATATTAATATATCAGAGAAAAAAAAACCACTTTTAACACATACTCAGGCAGATTTAACATAGCCTCTCAATTCACTCAGTTTTTAGACTTCTGAACAGTTAATAGAGATATCTTAGATCAATGAGCATTTGTACTGATAACATGTTATGTGCTTAACAAATTTGGTTGAATAATCATTCTTTACTATCTTTATAGTCATTTCCTTCATGATGTATTTGTTATACATTTAATATACAGAAATCTTTTTGACATATAGCCCAGATTTCTTTTTCTTGGTCACTTTTCTATCCAATTCTGAAGCTGGAAAAAACTAAAGTAAGCATCATTTAACAACGTATAAATTTGATGGCTAAGTACATTTGCTGTATTTTCTTATTTACTAATTCAATAATATCACTCATTTTTTTACAGTTTAAAAAAACTTCCAGGGCTGGGAAGGTGGCTCAGTGGCAGAGTGCTTGCCTTGCATGCATGAGGCCCTGGGTTCAATTCCTCAGCACCACATAAGCAAAAAGAAAAAAGCCGCAAGTGGCGCTATAGCTCAAGTGGTAGAGCGCTAGCCTTGAGCTGAAGAGCTGAGGGACAGCGCCCAGGCCCAGAGTTCAGGCCCCATGACCAGACCAAAAACAAAAAACAAAAAACAAAAAAACTTCCAAATTTTACGTAGCAACTACTTTAATGTAAAATCACAGTGTTAATTCATACTAAGAGTGATAAAAATCCTTGTACTATTCTCTCACCACAGTGATGAAGGAGAAAGCAACTTACAGACTCATCTTCTTCTTCCTCATCTTCATCTGTATGGTGGAAAAAATGTCGGTAATTTCCAGGGTTTATTTCTGTATCTTCATTTCCAACAAAGAAGCTGGGGGCTTCACTCATTTTGATTTCATCTGATATAACTTACAAGATCTATATTAAAACTACTTTTAAATAAATAGTTTCTGAAGAAAGCATTCTCTCTGTACAAGCTGATATGCAGGCTTGCTACAGTGCCTTTCTTCTTATACAGCCACTTGAAACTGTTGAGTTAGTTGGCAAATGCTTTTTTGTTTTCAGATAGCATTACTTCATTGTTGATACAGAAGTTGCTGCTATATACAGTTTAAAATATAAAAATCGTGAGGCTATTGTTTCCCTGAGTCGATACGGCAACCTTTTTACCTAAAATGTAGTGAAAAAAATTAATTTAGAAAGTGCACTTCAAAAATACTCATGTAAAAACAATTTTAACTTACAATGCAAAATCAGTATCTATAACAGTATTTTCTTCCATAAAATTAAGTAATTAAGTCTTCAATATAATACAACCTAATAATATAAGATGATATAAAATAACAAGCTATTAAATTCCTCAAATTCAAAAATATCTAACAGATTAGGAAAAATATTCAAATCATAACAAAATTAAGTTAAAGTTAAGTCTCTCAGAACATAGTTCAGAAACATCTCTATGAAACAGAGCAAAACATATAAAACATACTGCGCATTTCAAAAGAAACACTGAAAAATGATCATCTAAAGTAACTGTTAGATGACCTTACCTTGAGGCCTCAAGAAGTTATTTTCTTTTTTTTTGGGGGGGGGGAGGGAGGTCCGGTCATGGGGCCTCAACTCTGGGCCTGGGAGCTGTCCCTCAGCTCTTCAGCTCAAGGCAAGCGCTCTACCACTGAGCCACCTTCCCAGCCCAAGAAGTTATTTTCAAAGCACCTCCACTAGACAGTTTTAGCATTCTTTCAGACCTACTTATAAACATTTCCGATTATAAGCAGGGAGTGAGTTTCTGGCTCTGGCTGGAAGCTCCTACTTGGAGTAATTTACCTTTTTTTGCCCTAATTGACCTGCACTGGTGTTGATCTATCTCTTTGTCTACCTCTACTCTAGCGTTTTTTTCCCCTTTTGAATCTAACAACAAGAAGTCAACCTAAAATGTAACAGGCCAGGTCAAAAATAAGTTTTTAAGGAAACATTACTTTATTCTGCATTCTAGTCTCATAGTTCAATCAACAACAAAACCAGAATAAAAACAAGGTTTCTCCCAAATAGGTTTTAAACTTTCAGTAGTTAAAAATTTTCTAGCAAACAAAGGAGGAGGCTGCAATGCTTGGTAAGAAATGTACGCATTATCCTGCCCATGTAACTGTAACTCCTCTGTACAGTATGTTCACAAATAAAATTAAATTAAATTTAAAAAAAAAAAAGAAAAAAAAATAAAAAGCAAGGGTGCGTTGTGTAGACAGTAGAGGATTGCAGAGCTGAGTAGACAGATGCTTTTCAAGGATGAACAGGTAGCCCTCAATAAGAAGGTAGCATTTGAGCAGCATTGTATCACAAAACAACTGAGCCATGTAGGCATCTAGAGGACAAACATTCCTGGCAAAAGGGTGCCAAGTTCATTGGCCAAGTTGAGAACAGACTTGATGTATTCAAGAAGCAAGGGAAGGCTAGAGGGACAAGAGTGGCAAGGTTGAGGAGGACTAGAAGAATGTGCCTGAAGCTTGGGAGCCAGATGATGATGCACTTTTATGCTGTGGTAAAGACTTTGGCTTTTACTTTAAATGAGATTTTTTTTTAAAGCAGTAGAAAGTTTGGAACTTGGCATTATAAACTCTGACCTGTATTTCAAGAGAATTACTCTAGCTCATGTGCTGAGAATGTGGAAGACTAGTTAGGAAGGAAGAGGGCTGGAGTGGAAGCATGGAGACCACTTGGGAGGATACTGTGGTGATTCTCGGGGAGATTTGTGAGGACTGAGGTAGTGGCAACAGAGGTGGTGTATTTTGGTAGCATACTTCTGGAGATTTTGTCATCTAGGATGTGGAATCTGAAAGAAAGCAGAAAGTCACGCTCCAAAAGTTTTGACTCAAGCAATTCATAGAATGAAACTTCACTGTAATGACGGGAGATTGCTCTGGAGCGAGGGAGAGGGCATGGGGGGGGGGGGGGGGAACACACAAATGGGGAGAGGAGAGGTGAACAAATACAGTCATATCCATTTTACATTGTATAAAAGTTGAGCTGTGTAACTTGAGGGTAGAGATGGGAGGGGAAAAGATGGGGGAGAATGGTGGACGCAGTGGCCTTGACTTCTGGAATTGGAACTCCTTTGTACAACTACTTAATAAAAATAAATTAATATATTTTTTAAAACCCTAAAAAAAAAAAAATTTTCTAGCAAATCTATCTGGGGACCAGTGACTTACAGCTATAATCCTAAATATTTGGGAGGATAAAAATGAGACAATTATTTATTTATCTATTTATTTTGGCCAGTTGTTGGTCTTGAACTGTAGGCCTGGGCACTGTCCTTGGGCTCTTCAGCACAAGGTGAGCGCTCTACCACTTGAGCCACAGCACCACTTCCGGTTTTCTAGTGGTTTATTGGAGATAAGAGTCTCATGGACTTTCCTGCCTGGGCTGGCTTTGAACAGTGATCCTCAGATCTCAGCTTCCTTAATAGCTAGGATTACAGGCGTGAGCCACCAGCGCCAGGCTGAGACAATTATTGTCTGAGGCCAAATGGGCAGAAAAGTTCATTAGACCTCTTCTCAATCCACAGGTAAGTGAAATAGACCACAACTAATTTCCCAAGATACTTGGGAGCCTGAGATTAAGATTCTTGGGAAGCCAGGCCATTCTGGAAAGAAACGTTCTCAAGACTATGTTTCCACACAGGCAAGCCAGATATAGTGGTGTGTGCCTGTAACCCCAGCAATGATAGGAAGCCTCAAGTAAGTGGTTCATTGTTCAGGCCAGAATCAAGACTTTAATCTAAAAATAACCAGTGAAAACAGGCTGGAGGCATGGCATGGTCACCTCACCAGCCTGCCAAGTACAATACCTGGAGTTCAAACACTAAGTACTGCTAAAAAGATAAAAAACAATTAAAATAATTCAGCAACTCTTATAATGTCTACAGACTCTCTCAATTTATAGGTGTATAAACTATGCAAGGACCTTTATGTGATTCATTGACAATCAATAACATTTCTCCATAATCAGGCACTAATGAAAAAATAAATTAAAAACTATCATAGAGTTTCAAAATATGCCATTCCACAGTTATTTATGGACAGTTGTACCCTAGGTAATATAAAAATTACCTACCAAGATGAAACTGCAAATAAAATGCTGCATTTGATGACTGGTAAGGTAAGAAATTACCTGATCAAATATTTATTAAGAAGAGTTGAGCAACATAATATCTAGGCCAGAGAAAGCACAACTCAAAAGTCAAATTTCCTAAAACTGTCTTGGAAACATTAAAACCAATTTGCTCAGTCAGCCTTGAATTCATCCATCTTTAAATCACAGTGTTCTGAAATCTGGAACAATATGTGACTAAAAAATGAAAGAAAAAATTTATAAAGTAAGATTTTTGTTTCTATTCTTTCTGCACCATTTAGCATTTTTAAATGTTTGCTGATAAAGTAAAGAACAGTGAAGACAGGGGTTATACATGGGGGAGGAACATATAAAGAAACAAAAAAATCACCTGGTACATTATAAATATGTTAGGAACAATAGCAAGAAAGAAAAAAAAACACTTGTGTTTTCACTGTATTTGATGTCGGTGCCCTGCATCTTGTATATACACTTCTCGAGCTTGGGGAGGGGAAGGGAAAAAACAAAATGCTTAAATGGGATACAGGGTGACCCACTGTAACAATGAGATGTACAAGACACTGTGTTGAAAAATGAACTTTACAATTTAAGCGAGGAGGGAGGTAAGGAAGGAGGGGGGAGTATAGTTGTAGAAGTGGGAGGGAAGGGAGGGTAGGGGGAAAACAAAGGAGGAGGTAACAATGCTTGATAAGAAATTACTCATTACCTTGCTTATGTAACTGTAACCCCTCTGTACAGTATTTTTACAATAAAAACCATATTAAAAAAGAAAAGAAATGAAAAGAAAAGAACACCTTGCAATTGCTGTAAAACTTGGAAGCAATGACTAGATTAACCTCAGGTCTGTACTAAATGGTAAATATTTTGAAATTTCACTTAAAAAACTCTTCCCATTTAAGTATACTCTAAATATTTCACTAAAGATTATAGAGTTAAATATACCTTTTTCAATATACTCATAAACAACTAGCAACTTAGGCTAGTTTCAGCTTCTTCATTTACTAAAAAAGAATATAGTAACAGTATGTAACTTCAATTACACTAACACTTGCTATATGTGAGGTAGTGTTCTTGAAAGATATTAAATACTCAGTAATGCCCAGATCTATATGCACTTCTATAAATCAAGCTGCCTACTAGTAGTATGTGGAAATCTAAAACAATCTTGTTCATTGTTTATTGAAATGAATATATTTATGCTAAGAAAAAGTACTTATCACGGAAAGCATTCAATGTAGGCAATTGTACTTCTAATTTATGTTCTAAAGTAATTATAAAAAGAAATAATAGTGGTGCTGTGGCTCAAGAGGTAGAGCACTCGCCTTGAGCTGAAGAGCGCAGGGACAGTGCCCAGGCCCAGAGTTCAAGCCCCACGACCGACAAAAAAAAAAAAAAAAAGTAACAGATAACAAAATCTTGTTTCAAGGGGAAGAAATAAAACTAAATTAAAAAAAATTTTTTTTGCCATTTTAAAGTAGTCATTGTGAAATACCTGAGACACATAAAATAAAAATTTGAAACTCAGTTAATAATCCCATGACCTCTTGGGGTAGACATGGCTGTGGTTCTCATTTGTATTAACTGGGTTACTTATTCTAGTAATCTTTTCAATATGGTTCCTGATATTTTTTACATATTTTATAAAACACATGTATGTATGAATAGAAATCAGATTTGAGTATGCATTCCATTATATTTTCCCAAAGGAATGAATTAACTGATGAATTTGCAGCTACTCAAATTCAATTGAGGTCTTAATGCTGCCTGAATGTGTAGTTACATGTCCCTCATGTGATTATAAGCTTAGATATGAAACAATGTCTTATTCATTCTTTGGACAATAGCAATAGATAAGTCAACACATAAATATGCTTAGGAAGACCTCTCCTTAGATGACACGTGAGCAGACATTTAATGAAGGAATAAACCATTTCAGATTTAGAAACACAAAATCAGGAAAATCAGCATTTCAGATTAAAAAACATCAAATAAGTATGTTGAAAGAGACACTGTGGCTCAAGTGGTAGAGCGCTCACCTTGAGCTCAGGGACAGCATCCAGACCCAGAGGTCAAGCCCCACAACAAACAAAAAACAAAACAAAACAAAAAACAACAAAAACAACAACAGCAACAACAAAAGAAGTATGTTTAGCATATTTCCTCTGCTCAAAGAATAATGATGATGATGGAGCAAGCAAGCAATGGAAGACAATAAAGTAGGAGAAAGAGCTAACATTCATAGAGGACTAAGACAAAAAATTCAGTTTTATCTACTACATTTGAGAGAACCAAAGCAAGGAAAGTAAAGACATGTTATAAAAACAATTGTAGAATTTTTGTTATAAAGGTGGTCAGAACAGATTTCAGAATAGTAAACAGTTGAGAAAGTCCTTTTTAAAAATCACTCATTCCACTTCGTTATATGAAAGTTCTCAAATATATTATAGAAGGGCTGCAAGATAATAGTTAAGAGGATGGATTTAGGAGCCAAAATACCATAGCTGATTCTTCACTCCAATTAACTATATGACCAATCTCTCAGGGCCTCAATTTTCTCATCTGTACAGTATACCTATCTTGTAACTTTTTGTAAGGACTCAAAACTCTTGCTTGTGTCCCAATTTCTAGACCATATTTCATACCATTAAAATCAGAATATTTGAGTAAGACTCAGGTAGTTTTAAAGTTTTCCAAGTGGTTCCAATGAGCAGCCAAGTTTAAGAACTTGTATATTACCTTAAAAAATGGAGAGCATGGTAAAACAAATGAAGCATACAATAACTAAAACACATGGTCACTATGTTATGACAGTATGGGAGCAATATGGGAATTCTATTGGGCACCTATAATGAATAAGAAATAGTGATGAAGTGCTTGGCACTTCTTAAGGAACTGATAAATACTTCTCCACAAAACATTCCTTAATAATTTTCAAGATTGCTTGTCGTTATTATGCATTTTGACCTTAGTTGCACAAGGGAATGAAATTTACTGTTATCCTCTAAGCAGGGCCAAGTATTCTCTTTTCCCAAGATACATTATAAATACTACCCTGTGTGTTTGTGATTGTGTGTGTGCGCGCATGCGCATGCACACACGCGTTGCTAGTAGGACTTGAACTCAGGGCTTCAAACTATCATTTGGCTTTTCATTCAAGGTTAGTCCTTTACCACTTGAGCTATGCCTACAGTTTGAAAACTTCCAACTCCTTTTCTATGTATCTTTCAATGTGAAAAAAGTTGAGAAACAGGTAACTACAATGAACAGCCTGAATAGGGCATTTTCTTCATTTTATAAATGCTTGATATAAGTGTCCATCATGTTATTACAAATGAAACCTATTTATATAATTTGAACTTGATTAAATCAACCAATGATCACAACAAAAGTTGTAAATGTCAGGTCTGTTTAAATCAAAGACAAATTCATGTAGCAGAGAGAAAAAAAGAAGTGGACAATTCTTATTTCATTATTGTAAATATTTTTAAATGAGTTCTTAGAAAAATAAAAATATATAATAAATCTTTTTTTCCTCTCTCAGCAGCAGGTACTCTGAAACAAAGTGAAATTTAATGAGAATTATACAAGATGAAGCACATTCTCCATGGTTTGTTATTTTACTTTGTTATTTTACTTTCAATTCTGAAGTTGAAATGGTAATTTCAGTTCCCTTTGCTCAACCTGAACACAGACACTTAACCAGTTTTCCCCAACCCCCCAAAGCATTTCCAGTGGAAGCACTGTTATAAATGGTGGTTAAATTCCAGGGTAGTACTAGTAAGATACATTAAGAGGGGTAACTGAGTACAGTTCTGGCAAGCAGAGCTGGTAAAGGCAACAATGATTATTCATAAAATTGTTTTTCTTTTTTTCTTATTTTTGAGACAGGCTCTCCCTTTTTTTCTATTGTTCTATTTACACTTCCTAAACTAGCTTTGATGATGAGTGCACACTCCCACACCCAGTCTTGAAGGTCTTGCAAACCTTTGCCTGGATTGGCCTCAAATGTCAAACCAGTCAATCTCTGCCTCCTGACGATTACAGCCATGAACCATCAGCACCTGGCATTGTTAAGATTCTTTATTCCAAGTTCCACACAACTTGGTTTGTTCTTCCTTTTCAAATATTTATACAATATCTTCTTGCTGAGCCTGCATTGCTTTCTGCCTAGAATTCACTGTTTCCATGAAGTTTCTATTCTCCTCTAAATAACCAACTGAAAAACTCCAAGAAATGCTTTCCTGACAACTTTCCTACCAGGCCCCCCAAAACACAGAGCTCCATTTAAAATCCTTTATGCTTCATGGTACTTTTAGATCTATCTTTATAATATCTGATTCTATCAGAACGGGCTTTCCCCCATATTTTCTTACTATGAAAATTTTCAGATATTCAGAAAGTTTCAAAGACTATACTGTTATCTGTCCATGTACCTATCCCAATGGACAATCTTTTCATATTTACTTCTCTTTATATACACCCATACAGATGTATTTGCTGTAGCATTTGAAAATAAGTACATCAACTCAACACATATCACCTTGAAATATGCATCTAGAACAGAAAGTACATTCTCCCACTAACCACAATACCACATCCACCTGGGACAATTAATAAGTTATACAACATGTTCTATATGCAGGTGCAATGCAGCTGTTGGGAGAACAAGGGCCTCATCTATATATCCCCAGTACTTAACTTGATGCAGGGTATTTATGTTTTATTATCTAATTAATTTAATACCCTCACAATTATTCATGAGTTTAAAACTTAAATAGCAATCCATGATTAACTTTGAACCTTCTGCATTATCAATTTAACTACTGGCTTTTTATAAAATAATGCTGCAGTCAGTATTTGAAGTTGTGAATTAATACTGCTGATCCATAACCATAGAGATCATGCCTGTCACTTGTCTGACATAAGGGGGTACATCAATTTTTTTCTAATAAATGAATACTTCGAGCCACTGAAAATGTTATTTTAGTGTAGAAACTGGAATTGTGGCAGAATAACAATTAGCACAGAGTACTTAGAATTAGATATACATGGTTTCTAGTATACTCAGATTTTAGTACAGACTTGTAGCAAAAGGTTACGAGGGTGACCTCTCTAAGCCTGTATTTCTTTGGGGGGCGGGGGAAGAGGGAATAATAAACGAAGATAAGCAACGGAATTATGGACAGGTGCAAAGGGAAATGTACGTCAAGCATCTGGCACCATGACTCATCGATGGCAACTATCCTCATTCTCTCTGTCTGAAATTAAAACTCTCGTCAGTTCACTGGAGAAATTTCATCAGCATAAAGAAAATCCTCTACTTAGCGCAGCAGCCCTGTGTGAGACACTGAAGTCAGCCCTCCGTCCTCACTGTCACAGCCCAGCCTTCATCGTACGCTACAACGCGAGCACGAGTACCCGCAGGACTCCCACAGCCTGATAAGCGCCCCAGGAAGTCGTCCAGAAACTCGCGGGTGAGAGCCAAAGGTCACCCCCGGGGCCGGAGGATGGCACGACGTCCTGTCTCCCGGGGGAGGCGGGCACGGGACCCGCAGCCTCCCGCCGACTCGGCCGCGCTCGCTGCACGAGCGCACAATGCTTTTGTTCTGGGCCAGTGGGCGTGGAGGCGAGGGCAGGCAGAGGAACAAAGACCCCGGGTCGGGGAATGGAGGGAGTAGTCAGCACAGCGACCCCCCCTACCTCCCGCCCTCCAGATCCCCAACCCCCCCCCCAAACCTCCCCAAACCCCGGCTGCGCACCCGGCTGGACGGAGGGGCAGCGGCTCCCGGAGGACAAGCGAGGCTGGTCGGCTTCAGGCTGAACTAAAATTCCAAACTCAAACGAGAAGCCATGAGGGAGGAAGAGGGGGAGGAAGAGAGACAGCGAGACAATTAAGGACCTCGGGGCCGCGCTGTCACCGCCCCGCGCCCCGCCCGCCCCGGCTGTCCGTCCGTCCGTCCGTCGGTAGGTCGGTCGGTCCATCCCTCCCACCCCCCCACCCCCGGCTCCAGCGCCCGGCTCCCTGGAGAGCATGTGTCCCGAGACCCGCACGGTACCGACGGGAAGGAAGGGTCAAAGCACACGCCCCGCAACCGCAGCTCCCGTTCGGGGTGCGGTGGTCGGGTCCCGGGTTCCCGCGTTATCTGGGGCCCTCACCTGCCACGGCTGCGGTGGCCACGCCAACTGTTGGGGAGAGCCGAGCCCATCCAGACGCCGGTTTCTCCCCTCTGATCCCGGGGACAGAGGTGAGGTGGGGCTCCGGAGACCGAGCACGCCTCCCCGCCGCGGCCGCCGCGGCACCCGGGACCCGAGCGAGCTTTCCGCACACCTCTTGAATCTCGGGCACGCCTCTTCCCTCCCGCCCTTTCGGGTCTCACAGGGATCTACCACCGGCCCGAACGACTTCCGGTGAAGAGCCCAACGATCTACAGCCTTGTCTTTCCAAATCCCCCAGCAGGTTCCCCCTTCTTAAGGAACCCGGGTAGTTCCGCTTCCGGTAGCACCAGATAAGTCGCGAGAGGAAGGCTTAAATCCTGTCGTTTGTATTTTAAGGACCACTTGGGTGAGTGGTCATCCCGGTATGCTTTGTTAGATCTACTGCTTTGGAAAGTGAGGTGTAACCTGAGAGTAATGTTCAAAACCATTCACTGACGGAAAAAAAGGGTAGGAGTCTGGATTGGTTTTGCGCAGGCGCCGTTGGGGCGGGAGGACCTTGGCCTGGTTAGGGATGGGGCGAATTGCGGTTGTTGGGCTAATAGGGGAGGTAACTAAAGTGGGTGGAATTGTTTAATGCCATGGTCATTTTCCTGCTCACGCCAAGGTGTCAAGGACCTTGCCCTGAAAAGCCAGTGGACACGCAGTTGGCGTGCTTCCTGCCAGTTGCGATGGTCTGGAGTGGACTCCACCCTGGGGTGGGGCTGTGGGTTGACTGCAGAGAATTCTCACCTCTTGTCATTGCCCTCGCTGAAAACTTGTCCTCAGTTGAAAATCTCTTCTGGCGGGAAAGGACTACGAGATCTCACGAGAAGTGGTAAACAAATCAATGCATAGGGAACATTTTATCCTTTTTACCTAGGCATTTCTGAACAAAAATAGAGAAATTTTCAAAATGGAATTTTGGTTTTTAAATCCCAGGTGCCTTCAAGAGCATGCATCTGGGGCCAAAGGCCTGTGAAGAAGTTAAAAACCATCAAAAAACAGCTCAACTTAAATTGGTCGAAGATGTATTGTTAAATAAAAAGACACATGACAGATGCATATGAAAAATATTCAATGTTCTTTGCAAGTGTTTTTTCTTTTGGTGGTATTAGGATTTCAACTCATGGCTTTTTTTTTTCCCCCTTGCTATGCATACTCTACCACTTGAGCCTCTATCCATTTTTGCTTTAGTTTGTTTTTTTTACATAGGGTCTCATGCTGCTTGTTTGTTGAAATAGAAGCACAGTAACTTATTTCCTGGGCTGGCCTCAGTTATGATCCTCCAGTTTCTTTCTCTTGGGTAACTCAAATTTATAAGCATGTCCCACCACGCCCAACTTGATAGTTCTTTATGAATTCCAGGTGCAAATTCTTTTCATTTTTTTCATATATACTAAAAATGATTGCAGGTGTGATTTGTTTTCACCAATAACTTAAAAAACAAAAGTTTTCACTTTATATTTTTTAAATGATTCATTTTATTCTCCAGGAAGTGATTGCCTAACCTAAACTCACAAATATTTTTTCTGGAAATTAAATGGTTTTAGGCTTTCCATTTGTTCATTGTGAATTAATTTTTACATATGATAGGAAGTATGAGTTGTAGTTCATCTTTTTTGTATGGATATTCAGTTATTCCAGAATTTTGTTCCAAATGTTAGTCTTTCTTCATTAAATTAGCTTGTTGGAAATCAATTTACTATATATGATTGTCACTAGACACTATTCTGTTCCATGGGTGAAGGCTACCATTTTGCCATTACCACACAGACTTTATATATCATAAAATATAGCATTTTTGGAAGTTTTAAAATCAGATATTGTGAATTTTTTCAACAATGTCCATTTTTTCAAAGTTATTTTAACTGTCCTGTTTTGTTTTGTTTTAATTTTCCACATCAACTTTAGAATTAGCTTAACAGTTTCTTCAAAAGAGCTGCAGGGTGGATGGGAAGAGTCTTGTTTCCAATCGGGATTGCATTTAATCTATAGCATAGTAATTGTCATCCTATGTTGTTTTGTAGGTTTTTTCATTGTTAGAGTGTCTACATTGTAGACAGAAGCCTTTGTAGGAATTTTTAGTATTTTAGGAAGAGTAATTTTTTCCATTGCTTATTCATTATATACTGGAAATGATCATAAGACCCATAACTTTCTGAGTCAGATACTATCTCTTACTGCAGTCTAAAGATCATGCCATTCAGACCATTATTAGTCACATAGTTTTTCTCCCTTCTATTTCCAATAGTCTCTAAAAGCCCTTCCATTAAAAATCTAACTTTTGGGGTTATTCCTTTTTAAAAACCGCATAATTTATTTTTAATGTTTTTTTTTTAATTGTAGTAAAGTACACATAATAGGAACTGTACCATCTTAGCCATTTTAGTATGAAGTTCAATGACATCAACTGTGTTTTTATTCCTGTGTACCATCACCACCCATCCATCTCCAGAATTTTTTCATATCATATAAATAAAACTCTGTACATGTTAGATGATACTAATTTTTTGCTGTTTTCCTTCTTAAGCCCAATCACTATGAATTTGACTGTGTTTGCCATTTTGTAACTTTTTAATTTTACTTAGCATAAAGTCTTCAAGATCTGTCCATGTTGTAGTGTTTGTCAGAATCTCCTTCCTTTTAGGGCTGAATAACAATTCACTATGTATTGAATTTAATCCATTTGTCTATCAGAAGTTACCTGGGTTGCTCCACTATTTAGCTATTGTGAATAAAGGTGCTATGAAAGTGATTGTTAACTAGATTGTTACTAGAATGTGATTGTTACTAGAATGTAAACTAGTGATTGTTACTAGAATGTAAACTCCATATGGATCAAGAGATGTACATCTTGATTGTTATTTCTCCATTGCTGTGTCTGAATATGCAAATTGATCAGTAAATGAACATATCTGTCTCTAACAACTATCTTACGGCTCCTTGCTTTCATAGCTAAGTTTAAGTTCATTCATTCTTGTTTATCAATATCTGACCATTCCATATCTCATCTCATTAAAAGGTGGTTTCTGCTCTACTTTAACTATTGCCATTAAGAGGAGAGAAGCCTGTAGAACCTACATATGAGTCCTTTGTTGAGCTAGTGAGCTCTCCTAATCATAGATTCACTACATACACTTTTGACAAAGCACAGTGAAAATGAAAAAAAAAAATCCACATACAAGTTATACCACTCAGTTGTGTTTAAATTGTATATATCCACTTTTGGTCTTGGCTAAATGTCTACTGTGTTTATTAAAAATATCCCTCCCAGTCTGTGGCTTATCTCTTCATTGTCTTAGTCATATCTTTTGATAAGCAGACCTTTTGATTTCGATAAAGTCTTGTTACATTTTTTTCTTTTATATAGAGTCTTTTGTGTCTTGTTTAAGAAACTTTTACCTTATTCCAAGATTTTGAAGGTACTTGGCTGTGTTTTTTCTAAGAACCCTTGTCATTTACCTTTCACATTTAGATTTATGATTCACATAGAATTATTTTTCTAAGTAATGCAAAGTAGGTGTTTATGGTTTATTTTTTTCTCTTTATCCAGGAACTATTTTTCAGCATCACTTAAAGACCCTATCCTCTCCCATGGTATTGAAGCTATTATTATAAATCTACCATCTGAACTGTAGAGATGTAAAGTTTATGTAGAGATGTAATGCTGGATTTCCTATTCTAGATTCCCTATTTGTCTGTTCCTTCTTTTTTTAATTGGGGAAGATTTAAAATGTTTATTTTAAATGGGATATTTTTATTAGTATAAGTTAATTGTACAAAATACAGTTCCACTATGACATTTCCATATATGCATATAATATACTTATTGAAATGCAAGTATGACACTATCTTATTTTGTAGTATGTCTCAAAAATTGAGGGCTTGGCATAGTGACATATCCTATAAATATTCTGACCTCTTTCTTCTGCATTCTGATTTGCCTTTCCAGTACCTCCTATTGGACAGTTCTAATCAAACTATTAAGTGCATTCTGTCAGGATGAGTCTTCAAGAATTTGGCAGCCAGGAGACAAAGGCCAAAAGTCACAGAATAGTCTCTTTTATATGAAATTATGTTTTTTGTTCCCTTCATTATGTTCCCTTCATTCCTGATTGTGTAAGCGTTTGATTTTTACACTACAGAAAGATTTTTCTTCATACATTGAAAAAGTATACATAGGACCATAAAAAAAATCATATTTTTTTAAGAGCAGGTGGTTTGCATATCAAGAATAGGCTATGAGATTTGGCCATAAACATCTACCATTTCCATTTAATAACTTACAAAATATATCTATATATTTGAGTTAGGCTATTTAGTTTTATTTTGTTTTGAGGGGAGGTTGTACATGTAGCATTTAAACTCGGGGACTTGTGCTTGGTAGGCCAACATTTAATTCCTTGAGCCAAGCCCCCAGACCTTTCTGCTTAATTATTTTTCTAATAGGGTCTTATATTTGTGCCACGGCCAGTCTGAGCCAAGATACTCCTGTTCACACTTCTGCATTGCTGGATGATGTCCACATCACCCAGCTTTTAATTGTCAGGTGGGAGTCCCACAAACTTGGAGTCCCTCAAACTTTTTGTCCAAGCTGTCCTCAAGCCATGACTTTCTCACCCTCTGCCTCTGAGTGCCTCTACCTCTAGAACTGAAGTCCTAGAAAATGGGTTTTTGTTGGTGGTGGTGTTGTTGATGATGATGTTGAAGTATTTTTTGTTGTTGTTGCTGAAGCTCTTTTTTTCCAGAATAAAGAAAATCTTCAGCATTTCTTAACACATCAAAAGGGACAAGATAATTTGTCATGATGCATCTCAAAAATAGCATTTGGATATTACATTCATATACATCACTCTGTTCCTTTCCTGTACCACAATTATCGCCCTCACAGATAATATTCTGGGAATGCTTTATTCATTCATAAGCAGAAATGTGGCAGAATCCTGAACTGAAATAGCAACTAAATTATCTTGTTATTTCAATAGGTTCATGATGGTTCGAAGTGGGAAAAATGGTGATCTTCATCTTAAGCAGATTGCATATTATAAACGAACAGGTGAATATCATTCAACTACACTGCCAAGCGAGAGAAGTGGCATAAGAAGAGCAGCAAAAAAATTTGTATTCAAAGGTGAAGTTATTTTCCAAACTCTTGATAACTTATAGAATTTTCTTCACGTATGTTCTTTATGGAATCCTGAGTCTTTCTATAGAAATTGATTGTTGCTAAGCAATTATCAATTCAGTTAACAATAATATTCAATTGAAAGCAAAATGAAGATTGCATTAAAGCCAAGAAAGGCCTTTTAAGTTACAGATCAAAGAAATACCATGAGAAAGATTTACATATATTTGCCTAAATTAACTTCTTCAGCTTTTGCTCTACAGTAGTTCTTATTCTTATAGTGCACATTTAAGCACTGATGCTACTGTCAGTGTAGAACTTACTTGGTATTCAATGTGACAGAATCAACAGCATTAAGTAGTTTGCTTACTAAAATAGAAAATGTATTCATATCTGTTGCTCTCCATCTAATTATAATTAAATATTCTCAGTATTACCTTTTTTTGGACCCTGACTTCCTCTGGATAGATTTAATATTTAAAGGACAGTAGGATGCTTATCTTGAAAGCTCATAACACTTTTTCATTTTTTTTCCTGCCCTCCTTCAAAGGGAAAAAGTAATCACCAAATAACTAAATGAATATTAATGCCACTAGTAGTGTGTATATGCATTGTTACTGGGTCCTAAATTCATGGCCTCTTGCTTTTTCTCCCATTCACAGCAGTCACTGTACCACTTGAGGCATGCCTCTACTTCTGGTCATATATCTCTGTGTATAACCTACCACAAACTCCTTATTTTTTAATAATAATCAGAACCATTAGATCTTTAAAGAGTGAAGACTGTCATTCATTTAATCATTTATGATGTTACTTTCTTAGTACATCGTAGGACCTGGAGATACCTGGATGACCTAGCTAGATAGGTAGTCATAGGCTGCCTACTTCAGTTAGGAATCTTATAGTCAGTATGTAGGTTAGCATGTAACATCTTAAAGATACATTCTTAAATTTGAGTAGCTACTCCATCCATCCTGTAAAAATAATGGCTTTTCTAGTCCCCTGGTTGCTTCACTTAAAGAAGCAAAATGTGAGGGTCAAGGTTCTCTATACTCTGTATCTTCTAATTAAGTCTAGATAAAACTGAGACATGGCTGCTCACAAAAATAATACAGTTATGATGCAATATTTTTGAAAATTCTGCTCTAGGGAGTTGTTTTAGCACATTATGTTTTAATTTATGCCATTTTCAGGAATCATCTGTACACTTTCCTACTTTGAGTGCACCCATATGACAGTTTCCTATTTCCTTATCACATGCTTTGATGAAAAGTTAGCTCAACTTACACTTATAACTACACAATTACAGCTAGTATTCTACCTACATACTTAGTGAGTATAACAGTGGATAACCTTTTCTAGTTGCATGATGCCATCATTACAAGTAAATACTGCTTTATTAAATGGAAAAAGATTTTGTAAAATGAAAATTTAAAAAACCCTTATGGTTTTATGATTATCTTTTTTTTTTTTTTTTTTTGGTTGGTTGTGGGGCTTGAACTCTGGGTTTGGGAACTGTCCCTCAGCTCTTCAGCTCAAGGCTAGTGCTCTACCACTTGAGCCACAGTGCCACTTCCAGTTTTCAGATGGTTTATTGGAAAGAAGAGTCTCACAGAGGAGGCAACAATGCTTGATAAGAAATGTACTCACTATCTTGCCCATGTAATTGTAACCCCTCTGTATGGTATTTTCACAATAATAATAATAAAAAGAAATGTAAAAAAAAAAAAAAGAGTCTCACAGACTTTCCTGCCTGTGCTGGCTTTGAACTGTGATCCTCAAATCTCAGCCTCCTGAGTAACTAGGATTATAGGCATGAACCACTGGCGCCCGGCTCTATGATTATCTTAACACTATAAGTCTATGAAAATTTACAGTTCTGTCTTTCTGGTATCATTTCAGAGAAAAAGCTATTTTATGTTGGAAAAGAAAGAAAACAAAATCGTTTGGTAATTGTTTCTGATGAAGAAAAAAAGAAAGCCCTAAGAGAATGCCACGAGAATGACACAGGAGTCCATCATGGCATATCCAGAACCCTTACTCTAGTGGAATCCAGTTACTACTGGACTTCTGTGACCAATGATGTCAAACAGTGGGTATGGCTTGTGTGTTTAGGATATATTGAATCATACTTTTCTTATGAATGTACAAAATTCATTATTCCCTAGATTTACTGTAGATATCACCTCGTATTCAGGACTTCTTGTGGAAATTTTTTTTTTAATTAAAGGGACATTTCCTTCACATTTCTTTTAAGCCACCACTAAAGTATAATTTAAAGTAGTAAAAAAAAATCTTTAAGCTTTTGAGAAATAATTAGATTTTGATTTTTATAGTACAGCCTATATTTATTTATTTTTGTTTATGTGGTACGAGGAATTGTTTTTGTTTTTTGTTTTTTGTTTTTTGCCAGTTCTGAGGCTTGAACTCAGGGACTGAGCATTGTCCCTGAGCCTCTCTGTGCTCAAGGCTAGCACTCTACCACTTGAGCCACAGCACCACTTCCAGCTTTTTCGGTGTATGTGGTACTGAGGAATTGAACCCAGGGTTTCATGCATGCTAGGCAAGCACTCTACCACTAAGCCACATACCCGGCCCAATAACTATTTAGTAAGAAGATTTTTTTAAAACCAGGATTTTATCACTGAACTCTTTTATGTAGTCAAAATTTAATTGAAGTAGGGTACTACTGGTGGCTCATGTCTATAATCCTAGCTATTCAGGAGACTGAGATCTGAGGAAAAAGGGCAGCCAGGGCAGGAAAGTCTGTGAAACTCTTATCTCAATTAACCATCAAAAATCCAGAAGTTGTGCTGTGGTTCAAAGTGATAGAGTGGGGCTGGGCATGTGGCTCAGTGGTAGAGTGCTTGTGTAACATGCATGAAACCCTGGGTTCAATTCCTCAGTACCACATAAACAGAAAAAGCCAGAAGTGGAGCTGTGGCTCAAGTGGTAGACTGCTAGCCCTGAGCAAAAGAAGCTCAGGGACAGTTCCCAGGCCCTGAGCTCAAGCACCAGGACTGGTAAAAACAACAACAGAAACAACAACAACAAAGTGATACAGTGCTAGTTTTTAACAAAAATGCTCAGGGACACTGTCCAGCCCCTGTGTTCAAGCCTTACAACCAACCTTCCTCCTCCCCCCCCCCAAAAAAAAAGAAATTGAGACTTGATTTCTCTTGATTAAATGTTTATTGCCATAATGCCAGTACTACTGGTTTTATTGAGTGGAAGATAATAAATGTGCTGTTCATATTAAGTCAAGCCCACTGTGGGCTTTCAGGTTTTGTGTTATTCCCTCTTTAGATAGAAAATGTCAGCCATAGCCGAGACTCAAAAGCAGATGCAAAATCAAATAGTAAACCTTCCATGCATTTCTTTACAATGTTCAGTTAAATCTTTGTTAAATCGTTATCATTCAGGAATAGTTATGTGCTTTTAGAAATATTGGTGATTACATCTAGTAAATAAGTTTAAGTTGAAAAGTGAAAGTGTTCATCAGAATTAACTGACTATAATGTAATAAAATGTCTACTAAATTGTTTCTTCCAGAGTTAGTATAATGTTAGTAGTTTCCAAAGTGAAATTCCAGAAATACATTGAAAAATGGTATCATCTATGAGTTAATGATCTCATATCATTCAAATGAAAGTTTGATGAGAACATAGACTTTTTTCTGCTCACTATCCTATCCCAGGGCCTAGAGAAACTTCTGGTATCTGTAATATTGTTTAATTCAACTTATGTTGTAGTAAACGAATGAACTTCAGAGTAACTTCAGGAGGAAGTATCTTCTGTCTATAGAAATTGTGAACATTTATATCCTGTTATAAATAGGTCAATGAAACATCACATATACTTCATAAATATGTACAATTTTTGTATGTCCATTTGAAATAGTGGAAAGCTTATTTTACGATCTACTGATTTAATAAATGTATTAATGTGAGCCAGAATTATGTTGCAAATATGATCCCAAAAGATAGTTTTTTTAAAAGAAAAAACTAGTATTTTCATATTGTTTTGAATACAAGGCTATTTTCAGTTAGCTTCTCTCACTCCAAAAGTTTCTTCTTCAACTTACAAAGTACCTATCAACCGATTTGAAAATTCTGATTTATAGGATTACTTTATTTTATATTGAATATTTTAATATTTGATAATATTTTCTTTAATTCTTGGCTCTTTTTAGGTATATGCTTGTCAGCATTGCCAAGTGGCAAAAAATGCAGTTATTCTAGCACCTAAACAGCACATTCTCAAGGTGGAAAATCCATGGAATGTAATTACAGTTGATCTGATGGGACCTTTTCATAAAAGCCACCGAAGTCATGAATATGCTATAATCATGACAGATTTATTCACAAAGTGGGTTGTGCTTTTACCCCTCCATGATACTTCAGCATCAGAAATTTCGAAAGCCATTCTCAATGTAATTTTCTTGTATGGACTTCCTCAGAAAATAATAATGGATCAATGTGATGAATTCATTCAACAGGTAAGGCAAATTGCTTAAGTTTAGAACAACAAATAATGCTTTCTATATTATAGAGTGCTTGATAAATTCAGATAAATTGCTATAAGTATAGAGATATATAGTGTATACTACAAAGGTAATTGAGATAGAAATTAGGAAACTGATTTTAATACATACTGTGACATTAAGGATTTTAAACCTCTCTTTGGGTATCTTCAGATTACAATGAGAAGATTAAACCAAAAAGAAGATGGTTTTTATCTAGCTTATTTTTTTTTAATAAATGATAGGTAAAAAGGGACTTGACTAAAAGTGAAAATGCATAATGCTAATGAATGTGACTATTCAATATTGAAAAGTATTTTTTTCCCTTGCTTTGGCCTTATTTCCAATTAACCTGAGTGAAAGAATAAGCAAGCAAGAATATATGTTGAAAGCTCTAAAAAAGAAATATAATACTATTAAATTTAAGTGATATTTAAAATTTTTATAATTTTCTTGATCCATTCATCATCTGAAGGGCATCTGGGTTTATTTCATATCTTGGCTATGGTATACAATACTGCAGTGAACATGGTCATGCTGATGGCTTTAGTGTAGCCTGGTTTGTGGTCAGTTGGATAGATGCCCAGGATGTAGAATTACTGGTTCAGAGGGAAGCTCTATGTTTAGTAAGCCAGACCCAAAGAAACACAGGCTGCATGATTTCCCTCATTTGTAGTAATTAGAATGTGCCTATAAATCTACAAATAAACCCAATGGATAGTAAAAGACAAATGAGTATACTTAAACATGATTAATTAAACAGCAATCTAAACATTGACACAGTGAGAACAAAGGAGGATATCATAGAGGATCACAAGGGTTCCATAGCTATGTGCATATGATCATATAAAATGAAGCTTATCAAAATGTTCTCTAAGAAATAGAAACGAGAGGTTTTTTTATTGTACTGTTCTTTTGTCCTGTAAAGATACTGTACAAAGGAGTTACAATTACATGAGCAATGAGTACATTTCCTATAGAGCATTATTACCCCCTCCTTTGTTTTTCCCCTACTATTCCTTCCCTCCCCACCTCCCTAACTACCCCTTCCCCTCCTCCCCTGGAAGTTGTAAAGTTCATTTTCAACATAGTGTCTTGTATGTCTCATTGTTACAATAGGTCAACCTGTATCCTTGTTTCAGCATTTTGTTATTTCCCTTACCCTCCCCAAATTAGAAAAATGTATATATAAGATACAGGGCACCAGGGGCTGGGAAGATGGCTCAGTGGTAGAGTGCTTGCCTTGCATGCATGAGACCCGGGGTTCAATTCCTCAGCACCACATAAGCAGAAAAAGCTGGAATTGGTGCTGTGGCTCAAGTTGGTAGAGCACTAACATTGAGCTGAAGAGCTGAGGGACAGCGCCCAGGCCCAGAGTTCAGCTCCACAACTGACAAAAAAAAAAAGATACAGGGCACTGGAATCAAATACAGTAACAACAGGGGTTATACGTATAACATAAGGGAAGAACATATAAAAGAAACAAAAAAAATCACATAGTACATTAAAAACAACAGTGACAAGAAGAAACCTCTTGTGTCCCTATCTTGGGGTTCATTTTGTTTAGCATCATCTCATATGGTCATATGTACATAGCTTTTGACCTTTTCTGCTTATCTGGTAAGATTATCCTAGACATATACTAGTTATTGCAAATAAGGGAAACCACGAAATCTATGTTTCTTTGGATCTGGCTTATTCACTTAATATAATTTTTTCCAAGTCTTTCCATTTCCTAACAAATGGGGGTAGTGTCATTCTTTCTGATGGAGGCATAGAATTCCATTGTATGTATGTATGTGGATATATATCACATTTTCTTGATCCATTCATCTACAGAAGGGCATCTGGGTTGGTTCCATATTTTAGCTATGGAGAATAATGCTGCTGTAGCTGCTGGTAGCTTTAGTATGGCCTTGTTTGTGATCATCTGGGTAAATGCTGGGTCATAGGGGAACGCTACATGTAGTCTTTTAAAAAGGAACCTTCATACTGTTTTCAAAAGTGATTGAACAAGTTTACATTCCCACCAACAATTTTTCTTTGGTTTATTCCTTCCTATCACTGTTTTTGATTTCTGTACCTCTTGTCTTGTATATATTTATCTGATTTGGGAAGGGGAAGCATAGAAACAGTAGAACAAATGGTGATCCAATTCATCAGTGAAACCCACTGAAACCCACTAGACACCATGTTGGAAATGAACTATACAACCTAAGAGGGAGGGAAGTTCGGAGGGGAAAAACTAGAACTGAATGAGGGAGAGAATTACACTGTTCAAAAGGAAATGTACTTATTAACTGACTAATGTAACTGTAACCAACGCTGTACATCACCTTTATTTAAAAAGAAAAATGATTTGTTCAGTGAAAGGATACAAAGTAGAATCAGCAAACACAAAAGATGTATGTATAGAAATCCAGACCAAAAAATAAAATGCAAGCTTCAGTAGAGTTACACATGGATGTGTTTAATTTCTCCAGCAGTTATTTAAGACAGCACATATGGAATGTTGCCAACCAGAGAAACTCACTGTGAACTCACTGCCTAGAGATTGTATTGCTAGCTGTTCACAGAGGCACCATCTGCCTGGGATATGCCAATATTCAAAACTCTTAGAAGGAAAAGTGTTGAATGTAGACAACATTATTTGTGTGAACTGTTTAGAAAATGAGTTGTTCTTATCTGTTGAAGAACAGTTTGAAAACCTTTTTGGTGAGAAGAAAATCCAAGATCTTAGACACTAGCCAATAGCCAAAATTGTAAATGGCCTTTCAAAGCATAGCAGTCTCAGACCTACAATGTCAACTCTTCCGGCAACTTATAATCATCCTGGTTGGGATATAGCCATTTAAAAACAGTTGTTACCAGGAGTTTGAGTCGGGGGTAAAGAGTGCATAGGCAGTTTTGCATTGATTTAGTCTTCAGCATCAAATAACTAATTTTTTTTTTTACTATTAAATAACCAATTTCTTGTTCTTAAGTACCTACTAGAAACTAATCCTCATTTCTTGTTTCCTACTGAGTTTTACATAAAAATGGCTTTTTTACATTGGCTAAAATAAAAATCATTTCTATAAAGATATGAAGTCATCAAAAGAATTATTGGTTGATCCAGTGTTGAAACAGAGCTATACTAACCTAGTTGAAACTACCTATATTGACTTCTATTGTTAACATGGCAGAGTTTGGGAATGAGTCGAAGTGATAAGTAGTGTCACAAGTAAGTGGAGAAGGGAAGGATTATGTAATAAACTAGTTAGCAGTTGGACAACATTTTTTTTTTTTGTCAGTCCTGGGGCTTGAACTCTGGGCCTGGGCGCTGTCCCTCAGTTCTTCAGCTCAAGGCGAGTGCTCTACCACCTGAGCCACAGCACCACTTCCACAATTTTTAATTTATTTCGGTAGTATGATTTTAGAATTAAGCATAACAAATAATTTTCAGATAAATTAAAAAATTTTACTTTAAAGAATTTTACTTCAGATCAAAAAATATCCTGTAATTTTCTCTTGTTCTAATATATAGAAAGCTTAGAAACAGCAATATAAGTTTCGATGCAGAACACCAAATTTGTCTGCATAAAAATGAGGAATATAGGAATATATCTATGGTAAAATAACCAAATCATAAAGGCCAAGAAATAGATCAAAAAAAATAAAGCAAATCCTTTGGCAAAAAAATAAAGTGCTAATGTCTTTTTATAAAAGATTCAAATAAACTGGGGCTGGAAAGGTAGCTCAGTGGTAGTTCTTGCCTCCCATGCATGATGCACTTGATTCAATTCCTCAGCACCACAGAAGCAGAAAAAGCTGGAAGTGGCACTGTGGCTCAAGTAGTAGAATGCTAACCTTGAGCTGAAGAGCTGAGGGACAGTGTGCCCAGAGTTCAAGACCCATGACTGACCAAAAAAAAAATTCAAATAAGTAATAAATTTAGTAAAAAGCATTAATATAATTTTCAAGAGGGAATAGAAATTGTAAGCATGGAACAATGTTTAAGTTCAATAGCATTAAAAGATGCAAGACTGTATTCTGTATTTACATAAGCAAAGATAGGAAGCAAATTGACCCAATTATATTGGTAGCATTGCAGCTTGAAACTGTTTTGTAGAGTAATTTGCCAATGATCCACTAAAAGCTGTAAGTATATTTTGTCTTTTAGTTAGTAGTCATTTCTTAATTGTTATTATAAAAGTGCTGTATGGAAAACAATGCTTTTTAAAAACTTACACTAATTAAATCATCTAAGTTTAGAAATTTCTCGTTGACTGAGGGTATAGAGCAGTGTTAAACTAATATAGGAATTCTTGAGGCCCTGGGTTTAATTTTTAGCACCAAAAGCAATTTTTTTAAAAAACAGCTATTTTATGACTAAATAGAGCCATTTATATTAGCGAGATAGAAAACAACCTAATTATCCAAAAATGACATTTCAGAAAAATGTCTAGCCACATGATGGAATATTTTAATGCATAATGGCTTGGCTCATCTAGAATTTGCAATTAAGGTATTTAAAGGGCACATTTACCTTCAAGAGGCACCCAGATTTATAGCCAGTTTTGCACATATGCTTAGTAAAATTTTGTTATGTTAAGCCATCCACTAGGATATGAATGTGTTTTTGTAAATGCAGTATTACCTTGCTTCCCTTTTCTGATAACAGAAGTGATTTCTTCAAGGAAATATGTAAGATAATCCAGTTTGGGGGAAGACTATTTAGATGTTTATGATTTCCTTAATATCATTAATGTGTCTAACAAGTATTAGTTCTGTCATTTTTTTTCTGTGTTTGGTAGGTATTTACATCTTAATATTACCTTGTTTCATTGCAGGAGATTTAAGCTAACTACCCATCATTCTGTGACAAATATAGCATGGTGAAATCTAGGTATTATAATCGTAAATTAATTTACTACTAAAAGCAAAAGCATCAATAAGGAAACTGTTACAGACTTTTATATTTTATAGATTCTTCTCTGTCAGGGTACCATCACATATCATGTATTTTTATTAATTGAGTCAGGCAGCTATTATCAGTCTGTAGCCATTATTAATAAAGCTTCATTTATTATTTTCTAGATTACAAAAAGGAAATCATAGTCTACTAACCAGTACATAGTAAGGACTCAGTCTGTACAATTTTTTAAACAAATATAGGGATTTGATTGGCTATAGTAAGTAGAAGAGACAAGACTCAAGTTCTTCTGAAGGGTTTTGTAGTATATGTGCTGCCGAAGCAAGCACGTGAAGGGTTTTTTAAATGAATAGAATAACACAAATTTTAAATTGTTATTATTTTTAGATCAATATTGAGCTGTATGGATTGTTTGGTACAAAACAGATTATAATTTCTCATGGCTCTGGAACTATTAACCCATCTGAAAGTACACCAAGCACAATCAAAACCTTTCTCTCCAGACACTGTACTGAGCACCCGAACAGCTGGGATGAACACCTGCCAACTGTTTCATTTGCTTTCAATATCACTCACTTGGTATGTGCCTATTTTTTTATTGTTATTGTAAAGGTGATGTACAGAGGGGTTATGGTTACATAAGTCAGATAAAGAGTACATTTCTTTTTGAACAATGTTACCCCTTCATCCCTCTCCCAAATTTTCTCTCTCATTCCCACTGGCAAGTTGTACAGTTCATTTTCAACAGTGTCTAGTTAAGAGTATCACTGATGCATTTGTTCACCCTTTATTCTACCATTTCTGTGCCATTTCCCTCCCAAAGAACAAACAAGACAGATGGAAATGAAAACAGAAACAGCAACAAACAAAAAGAAACCTGATTTTCCCAAAAATAAACTCTCAAAGAAACAATAACCCAATTAATAAATGGGCTAAAGATTTCTCAGAAGTAGCATGACCAATAGACACATGAAGAAATGTTCAACATCTCTTGCAAGGCAAAACAACACTGAGATTTCACCTCACTCCAGTCAGAATGACCATTATCAAGAAAATTAACAGTAACAGATGCTAGCAATGGTCAGATGAAGCCAAAGAAACTCTACTCCACTGTATGTAAACTTGTTCAACCACTACAGGAAGCAATATGAAGATTCCTCAAAAGACTAAACATAAAATTTCCCGATGGCCTGGCTGTTCTACTCCTGGATGTTTATCCAGTAGACCACAAACAAGGCCACATTAAAACTACCAGCACAACTATGTTCTTTCAGCATTTATTACCATAACTAAGATATGGAATTAATCCAAATGCCCCTCAGTGGACAAATGGTTCAAGAAAGTGTGTATGTATACACAAATTCTACACATCAATCATAAAGAATGGTATTTCCCCATATGTAAGGAAATGGAAAGACCTGGAAAAAAATTATATTAAGCCAAGTAGGCCAGACCCAAAGCAACAGGTTGCATGGTTTTCCTCATTTGTAGTAACTAGAATGTGCCTATAAATCTACAAGTAGACACACTAGATGGTAAAAGAAAAAAAATACACTGGAACATGATAAATTATACAGGTCTCTAGGCATTCACACAGAGTGGGACCAAAGGAGGATATTCTTAGGAGAAGATCACATAGTCTCAATAGCTATATGCATTTGACCATCTAAAATTTATCAAAATGACTAGACAAATGTCTCATTGCAAAATTTGTTCATTTTTCTTAAAATAGGAACCTACTAAAAATACACCATATTTTCAAATGTTTAATCGAAATCCTAATATGCCAGAAACTTCAAATGGTCTTCATGAAATGGATGATGATAATGCAAGTACATTTTCCAGAATTCTAGATGCAATTAAAGAAGTGGAAGCTAATAAAATAATGGAGAATAAGACTGCATCTGTGGGCCAGGTGATTCTATTTAAATTGAAAACTAAACTCTAAAAAGTGATACTTATCATGCAAGTACCTATACATAATATGCATACAAATATATACTCGTAAATATGTTTATCAAGTTGCTTACCTTACTTTAACAGTATGCTTAAAAGCTATGAAATTCTGAGAGACAGTAGAAAACTAGAGCTGTAGTCAAATCTGTACTTTTGCTATTTGGTTGTAGTTAGACTGGAAAATTACTTAACCTAAGTTAGTTTTCCTTCTATCTAAAGTAGTGGTATTAGAAGTAGCGCTGTGGCTCAAGCGGTAGATCACTTGCCTTGAGCTGAAGAGTTGAGGGATAGCGCCTAAGTCCAGAGTTCAAGCCCCACTGCTGACACAAAAAAGCAAAAACTAAAGTAAGGGTATAATACAGAATTTAAAATGCTGTTTTAAAAATTGTGCCCACCTTTTGGTACTACACAATGAATAGCTTCCTTTATAATAGTATTTACTCTGTGAAATTACTCATCTCATTTATCTTCATTGTACTTACAGATAAAGGACAACAATTTGGATGAACTGAATAAAAACAAGATTATTGTTAAAAAGAAACCAAAGCAGTTAAATCCATTTCATTTAAAAGTGGGTCATGAAGTTTTAAGACAAAGGAAAAACTGGTGGAAGGATGGTCGTTTTCAGTCTGAATGGGTTGGTCCTTGTGTCATAGACTATATTACAGAAAATGGGTGTGCTGTCCTGAGAGACAATACTGGGACTAGACTCAAAAGGCCTATCAAAATGTCCCATCTTAAGCCTTATGTAAGAGAGTCCAATGAACAAGGTAAATACCTACCACTTTTCTCCATCTTTCCTTTGTTTGAGAGAGGAGGTGGATTAAAACATTCAGAAACATGTCTTTCCTCTTAATTAGGTTTTATTTTCCTTCCTAGATTTTATAAAACTTGTTATAGTTGTAGATACCTCAAATAGTCTGTTTCATCAAAATGTATCTTTTGTAATTGAGAGATTTTATTTCATTCCTACTGTGCTTCTCATAGTTCATGTGAAAGATAGCGGCCCTGTTTCACAGAAGTATTACATCTATTCTCCATTTTCACTTTTACAGTATTCCATCTGTCACTATGTGTCTCATTTCAGTATGAAAAAAAAAACCATGATGATTAGAGTCCAAAACAAACATATTGTCCAGATTGTCATTTTAAACACTTCTTTTGAGGATAATGATACATTTCTTAAAACTAAAACAAAACTTCCTTGTCAGTGTTATAGATGAATTAGATCTTAAAAGTTTCAAAAATTTTGGTATCAAATTAGACTTACATAAACTGAACGTTTAAAGCTACTTTAGGAAATCTGCCTCCTTCCACATTCTTTTCACTTAAGATTATCTTTGGCCAGTTTATCCTCATCTAGTTTATTCCTATTGTGACAATAGAATACTATCTTCTAAACATGGATCCTATAATGATAGGATAATTATCTAAAATTATAAATGTAAAGAGTTAACACCTATATTAAAATACCTTTGATGAGCATAGTGTAATTCAGTCAGAAGTGTGTTACAAATGTACATTAAGAATATTATCATTATCTGAAAAGCAGTTTTGTAATTTATTTTTAATCTGTACTAATCCTACCGTAATCTATACTACACACATAAGTATATAACAAATAAAATCTAGTAAAGTAAAAAAAGAAATGACTCTTTTTAATTTCTTGATTTTCCTGAACTCTTTATGTGACCTGTCAATTTATGTACACATATTTCATTCTTTAGTGTGTGTTTATTTAGTGGCTTACCAAATTCATATGTCATTAATTCATAGGTGGTTAAATTATATTACTTTGGGCTTTATTCCTCACTTAACATTGCTTAATTTTAAAGTGATGTTTAATTATAATTCTAAAAAGCAATCTTTGATGTCTTTTCTTTCAGATAGTCTTTATCTCTTGCAAGGTTCAGTAGTGGCAGATCATGACTACATTGGATTGCCTGAAATTCCAGTTGGAGCGTATCAAGCAAATATACTTGTAGAAGATACAACTATTGGTGTAGTTGAGAATGAACTGCTGACATCAAGCAAGGATCGTGAACTATTAGAATATACAAATTCCAAAATCTCACCATTGATAGAAGATCATGGTACTCTTGACAAACAGACTTTCAGTCTGTTGGACTCTTCAAACCAAGTTCTTGAGTACTTAAGTTAGTAAATACCAAAATTAATTTAAAGTGTTGGCTTAGATTGTATAAGTCCATATGATCTTCATATTTTCTCTACTAAAATATGTTATATAGATGTGTCTTAATATACTCCTAGTGACTAAATCATATAAGTTTATAAATAATTCATCTAAAATTGTAATGCATTGGAATATCAGAGTATATGTATACATATTTATAAATATGCGTATGTATATTTGAATATGATGTGTGTGAAGGAAGTATATAGAATTCAAGTTGTCTCCTAATAGAAGAACAAGAAAAGCATTTTTGCTTCTTAGCAAATAAATTCCACCTCCAAATTTTAAAACCTTTGTGTGATATGGATAATTGCATTTTCATTTCTCTGTCTCTGTCTCTGTCTCTCTCTGTTTTGTGGGGGGAATGGGAGGAGTCAGTCATGGGGCTTGAACTCAGGGCCTCAGCACTATCCCTGAGATTTTCTTTTTAGGGCTAATGATCTATCACTTTGATCCACAACTCTACTTGCAGTTTTCTGGTGGTTAACTAGGGACAAGAGTCTCATGGACTTTCCTGCCCAGGCTGGCTTCGAACCAAGATCCTTAGATCTCAGCCTCCTGGCTGAGCCATCAGTGCCTGGCTTCATTTTTTCCTGAACTATTCTCCTCTTTTAAACAAACAAACTTCTTACAATGGGATTAGCAAATACTGAATGAAGTATAGTATGAATATTCTTTCTGTCTTGTTTGGGCTTTTACAATCAATATTGTAGGAGATAAAGTTGTTTAGTAGGCTTTTACCAAATAATGATTTCAATGTATAATATTCAATGTGGAATTTTAATATAATTTCAGATAATTTTAATAAGTTTTTTGTTGTGAGAATACAGAGGAAGGGTTACATTACATGAGCAAGGTAATGAGTACATTTCTTATCAAGCATTGATCCCTTCCCTCCCATCTCCACAACTACACTGCCTCTCCACCCCCCCACCCCTCAAACCCCCACCCACCCAGCCTAAATTGTAAAGTTTGTTTTTCGACACTGTCTTGTACATCTCATTGTTATAATGTATCCCTGTTTAAACAATTTCAGATAATTTTTAAGATAGGTTTGGAATTACTATCTGAAACTGTGTTTTTAAAAGTATTTTCATGTTGCATATTAAAATGATTGTAAGATAAATGGTAAGAGTACCTTCCTAGTGAGCATTAAGACTTGAATTTAGCCCCTAGTACCACCAAAAAGAAGTCAACTATTACTTCTAAGCCTATGTAATTTTATCCAACAAATGTTAAGAAGCACTATGAAAATCTGTATGTAAGAAGGATTGTTTGAACTTTACCCTTGAAAACGTACAGGATTTAGTGAGTGAACACAAAGGAATTAAGGGAGGAGAAATGTTTGGACAGAGAAGTTTTAATGATTCACAGAAAAGCAGCACTTTATTGTTCTTGTTGCTCTGAATGTAGAGTAACAAGTTAAGGGTTAAAATGAAATGATAATGTAGAGAACTCTTATTGTTTATGGTGATATGTGCCCCGTCCCAAATTCCTAATCTCATAGCCTCAGAATGTGGCCTTGTTTTTTCATATATAGTTTGTTATGGAATAGAATGGACTCTAGTTCCTTATGAATGGTGTCCTTATAAAAGGTAGAACTTTGGACACAGATTTGAAGAATGGTATATGACAATGAAGCAAAAATGAGTCAGCCAAGAAATGACAAAGATTTTCTGCAGATTCAGAAGCTAGGATAGAGTTGTGGAACAAGTTTTATCATACAACTCTCAAAAGGAAGCTAACTTTTCATGTCAGACTTCTGTCTCCAATCCTGTGAAACAATAAAATTCTGTTGTCACCTAGTTTGTGGTATTTGTTACAGTAGGCTAGCAAACTAAAAATACAAGTGCCTAGCTCAATTACTTTCTGAGACCAAAACCTATGGGGAGTCTGTGTATAAGGAAATGTCATGAGCAGAATTGTGTTTTAAGAAGTTAATCTGGAAAGTTGTATAGAAAAGAAAAATAAAAAGAGGTATTTGATGGGATTTTGCTATGAAGAAGAGTAACAAAAATCTAAATGCGTTTTTAGCTTTGGTAATCAATGGTGTATATCTTAAGTTCATGATAGAATATCTCATATACTTTATTCATCAACCATAGTGAATTTTGTTATGTGATGTTGCAAATTATATTGTGTAAGTCAAAGACTAAGTGACTGGGGAACAGGTGGAAATCAATCTCAGACCTCATATCACAGACCAAATAAATTCCAGAAAGAAGGCTTAAGAAAATACAGGTGGTTCAAAATTATCCTATTTTCATCAGCAAGACAAAGTTCATGATGGAATCTAATTGGGCCATATCCTAGATAAATGAGTTTTTTTTTTTCCTTTTTTGTGCCTTAGATGAAGCAACATTCCTTCCTTTTACTTTTTCCATTTTAAGACAGCAGTAACTATTCAGAATCATTCCTTAATTGCAAATTCTGGGTGATTAAGAAAAATTCTTCCTCCTCTAAATAGTTCCTCATCAAAGTTACTTGTCTTCTGTGTATGAGTCATGTTATTTTGTATTTGCAAACCTTCCTCAAATCTTGATGGCTTCAAACAGCAGAAGTCACATATCTTTGCTACAGCTTATATTCTTTGTTCAGCAAAGATCTGCTTCCATTTTCATCCTCTGAAATGTACGTGATGGTGATCCACTCCTGGAATAATGCCATTCTAAGGCAAAAGGGCTATAACACTATGAACTGAGCACTGTCATCCCAAAAATGCAGAATGTATAAAAGTATCATGGTCCAAACCAGCTGGACCTGGACAAAAAAATGAGATCTTATTTGAAAAACAATGGAAGTAAAAAGGGCTTTGGGGGATGTGATTCAAGTGGTAGCATTCCCACATAGTAAATACAAAGTTCTGAGTTCAAACCTTAGTAATGACAAAAGTTAATTAAAAATTATTTTTTCAATATTCAACTAAAGTTTCTCAGAGGAAATTTTATGACATTTTTTTAAATGAAGGTTAAAAAGTAATGAGCTAGATGGGCTTACTCCTGTAATCCTAACTACTTAGGAAGTTGAGATGGAGAATCTTGGTTGAAGGCCAGCCTGGGCAGAAAAGTAACTCCATGTCCAAAATAGCTAGTGAATAAAACAAAGCTTTAGGCAAGTGTCTGGGCCAGAACCTAGCAAGCTGAAAGCTCTGAGTTCAAACCCAAGAACCACCAAAATAATAATAAGCTAAGCAATTTAATGTGGCATTAAGAAATAATATACTAAAAACCAAATTTTGAAGTTATCAAGATAAGGAAAAGTAATGGAGTAGAAAATAAAAATACCAAAGTGAAAGGGGCAGAAAAGTACAGATAATAGATTTGGGGTAAGCAAGATAAGATTAATTAGCAACATCACATGAAAAATGAAGTTAAATGATGCACTCATTTATTTCACAAATTTTTTTTTTGGGGGGGGGGGGGTCAGGTCATGGGCCTGAACTCTGGACCTGAGCACTGTCCCTCAGCTCTTCAGCTCAAGGCTAGCACTCTACCACTTGAGCCATAGCACCACTTCCTGCTTTTTTTTCTGGTTATGTGGTGCTGAGGAATCGAACTCAGGGCCTCATGCATGCAAGGCAAGCACTCAACCACTGAACCACCTTCCCAGCCGTGATTTCACAAACATTTTTAAAGAGCTATTTAGATAGCAAATATTTTCACCTTTGTAGACAGTCTGGTCTTTGAATCACACAACTCTACCACTATAATGTGCAAACAGGCATATGCACTAAACAAATAGAGTGATGTTTCCTATTTTATTTACAAAAATGTAGAGGCTATATGCCCATGGCTCCCATGTAATTGTAGCTTCTCAGGAGGCAGAGATCTACCTTTGAGGGGGAAAAAAAGCTCAGAAACAGCACCCAGACCCTGAATTCAAGCCCTAGGACCAACACACACACACACACACACACACACACACACACACACATACACACATAAACACACGTATATGCATATATGTATATATATGGCTATATTTGGCTTGTAGGGTAGTAATTTTTATACACTAACTTCATAAAAGCAGAAAAGTATTTGGTAAGTAGTAATGTCCAGTTGAAAGTTTTTAGGAAACTTAAACATAATTAAGAGAAGAATGAACAAGTAAGAATCACTACTGTATTGGAAGCTCTAACTAGCATTGTTAAGGCAAGAAAAAAGTCAGAAGGATTGGAAAAGAAAACATTAAAGCAGAAACAACTTCACATTAAGAATTCTTATAAGTTAATATAAGAATGATAAATGACATAATGTAGAAATGAATAAGATTTTTGAATAGGTACTTCATAGAAGAGAAAGACCAAATTGTCTGTACAGGTATTTTTTGTTTGTCTCTATATGCCCACTACATCAACTTTCTTGTCCAAGATTCTAGCCTCTGAATACATGTCAGCAGAGGTACTATCCCCTTTAACTTACAGATGGCATTGGTCAGTGGGCATTTGCAAATTATCTTTTGGTAGAAGATCAAACACAGAGAGGTTGATGAAGTTAGGATATTGGTGCTCCTTTTCTCTTACGCACTGTGGGTGTTCTTTCAAAGAAAGGCCATTGCCCTTTAAGAAAATTTTGTATTCCAGTATCCTCATCAACTTTTCTTTTTGAGGCTAGAGGTGAAAAAAATCATTAGGGGTTCAATGGATTTTCTATACTCCATGCACATGTTGATCCATTTTGTTTTTGCCAGCCGTAGGTCCTAGGTCTTAATTTCTGAGTCTGGGTGCTGTCCTTGAGCTTCCATTTTTCCCCTTAAGGCTAGTGCTCTACCACTTGAGCCATGCCTGTAGCCCCCTTTTATACCATTAGTTATTTTTGAGCTTGGTTCTCCTTTTATACCTGAGTTGGCCTGGACTGTTGTCCTCTTATTTGTAGCTGAGGGTGACAGATGCACAGCCATTGGTGGAGATGGAGTCTGGCAAACTTATGCCCAGGTTGGGTTTTAACCACAATCCTCTGATCTCAGTCTCCCAAGTAACTAGGATTACAGGCTTGAGCGACCATTCCTACCTCCATTGGATTATCTTTATCTTGTCATTTTTTTCTTAATTTGAAATCCAAACATAGCCAATAACATAAAATTTATTAGTAACCACAAAAATACATTAATAGAGTCTGCTTAAAACCTACCAAATTGGCAATATAACAAAACTATTAGCAAATATATAAGGCACACACACACA